CTAACCGTTACACAACGACCGTGTCTAATTGAGTGTTGAAGGAATACATACACAAACAATAATACTAAGTATGCCCCTTTAATTTACCCAGGTAAAGCCTCACTGAGTCTCAACAATATTTTGTTCATTTAGGAAGGCCCTGCTTCACTGGGATACTTGTGGTCGGTTCCATTTATGAGTGTTTGGTTTCGTGTGGGAGGAAACCAGTTACTGTTTGCATATTCCCTGAGGCATATGGACCGCCTGAATGCTTACATTCGGAGGGTCTACACAAGTGTGCATGTCTCCAAACTGCACTCTACAGGATCTCGTAAACAACGGGAACATTACAAGGAGAATGTGTTATGTAAAGAAAGGGCCTCAGCTGTGTACAGTATACATTTGTAGACGCTCCTCTTGCTATGTTTGTATAAATGACTACCAAGTGGAATGTTCTTTCGTTAAGGTGTCCGGCCAGCTTGTCATCGTCAAAGTAAACATCGCCAGTAACCAAGGTGGCATGGCCAAAGAGGGATTTTTCAAGTGATGATGGCACATTGTGACATGCGGTCAAATGCCCTAACGTGGCTAAATAGTTCCGTGGCGTTTTCAACGGTGGGGTGGAATGTTCAAAATAACAAAAAAGTGAGATGATGGTTGGATGATGGATTGGTTTTCAGGAAGAAATTTCAACTGGGAAGGAATTGAGTGTGTCGAAAGGAGGTATTAAAATAAGTGTAGTTTTATTGGATTTCAGATACGGCGCCTTATTCTTAACGTGTCTGTTGCTTGACAGTTGGCGAGAAAAAGGGTCAGGGTTGTTTGAAGTGCAGTTGTATACTTTGACAGCCCTGAGGTAATGATAAAATAATTGCATAATCTACAATCCATCATGGTGGGAGCCGCAACAATGACTTTTTATGAGGTTATTCATGATATAGCTACGCTATAGTTATTGGGAATGATCCTGTGTCTTTAAATGTGCACTGTTGATGTGAAATTGTTGATGAGATTGTGACTGTAGATTGCCCTGCGTTTTGTTGACATTTCTATTCTTAGAATTATTTTGTTGAGTCCATGAAATTTCTTAACTCACAAATTACATGTCCGCAGCTGTCATTGGAGAGCATCAGGAGAACACTTCCTGAGTGAAGACAAATAAATAAAACAGGTCGAATATGATAATAGTGAAATAATAATAACAAGCATTGTTGTTTAAGAATTCAAACAAAAAGTGATAATCGGATTTTGGTACTCTTTGTAGATGTCTTTTTTTGCTTTTATAACTAAGACAACTGGAAGCTGGTCGATTCTCATGATTGCTACTCTGGAATTGTGATTCGCACCTCCGATTAGCACGGTTGGCTACGTACGGTGCGAGAGAAGTTCAACATATACATTCCATTCCAAAAATATAATTCGATTTCCGTCCATGTTGTAGAATCAGATGTATTGTGGAATCCTGGGGTTGGGTAGCGGTGGGGGGTGATGAGGGGGGTGAATGGGGGGCGGGTACATGGAGCCTGGCCTCTGGAAAAGGATGACCCACGTGGTCTGGTGAGCTTCGTAGGAATTGCCATTGAAATACAGATTTCTCTCGTTCCATGCAGGTTCTGTTTGTACTATTTCGCGTATGTGCGGCTAACCTATTTCGACCCATGGGCGGTTATGCGGTCGGACACGGGACAACATTGTGTGTGTGTGTACTGTGTGCACTACTCGGCAGGCGGCTGTCTCATGCGGTTTAGTTCTTACCGACCCCTACTGGACATCTGTGAAAAAGAGCTTAATAGCTAATCGGAATTTCTCCAGTATAAATAAAGATTGTGATTCTGGTTTTGCTCTGTGTGCCCTTATATATATTTTTTGGAACGCATCTACTGCTCAAAGCATTTGCAACCTGTCCATGGCTGATGCCTAGGTACCACATTTCAAGGGTAACTGATGATGCCAGTCAGCTGACATTCTAAAATTGATCTCAATATCAACCAGCTAATTATCTACCAAGATCACCATTGGAATGTATGACTGATGACCAGGGTGCAGACCTGTCCTGATTTCCACCTCGATTCTGGCATGGTATTCAGGAAACAAGCAAACGTCCATGGGTTCGGGCCTGCATAGTGTTGGCTGGCCTGGGCACTGCCCTCTCCCGCACCATTGATGCATGGAGCAACTAAGCCCCGGCTATATGTAGATAATTTTAGTGTCTGGCACAGCATATACACGAGGCAGCTACGTGTGTGTCTCTGTGTGTGTGCATATCTGGTACAGATACAATGGGAGGCTGATCGATGCCCAGGTGCGGTCAAGGGATGGCTCCCTATTGCTCAACTATGTTATGTATGCCGATGATCTGGTAATTGATGCTCACTCAGAGGTGGAGCTTGCTACTAAGAGGTGGGGCCTTACCATCAGCCCCACCAAATCTAAACACCTGCCTGGGTATTTTGTACCATCGGACACTCCACCCCCACAACTCACAATTGGTGATAGGGCAGTTGTGGAGAGAGTGGAGAGTTTCCCATGCCTGGGTAGTGTGCTCATGACCGGCTCCGGTTTGACAGCAGAGGTCTCACTCCGAATCAGTGGAGCAGCAGTATCTTTTCATCGGTTGCGTAGTGCTGTGTGGAAGCTACCTGGTCTGTCGCTCCGTACAAAGCTTCGGGTCTTCTCAACCACAGTCATTCCCTCCCTTCTCTACGCTTGCGAAATGTGGACCCCCCGAATGGAACATTTTCGCCGGTTAGAAACATTTAGGCTAGCCTGCCTATGATCCATCCTGGGTTTAACCAGGCTGGATTGTGTGAGGAGCTCACAAATCCTTGAAAGATCTGGACAAAGTCCTATCGGTGAGCTCCTCTGGCAGGCAAGGCTGCGTTGGCTGGGTCATGTAGCCCGAATGCCCAGCCACTGCATGCCTAAACAGCTTTTGTTCGGCCGGATCGAGGGGGCTAAACGTGCGCAGCATGGGCTAGAGATGAGAATATGGAGTGATGTGGCACAGGAGGATGTGGAGCTAAGTGGACTTGCCGATGACTGGTACCAGCGGTGTCAAGATCGGCCTCTGTGGAGGAGGCTCGTGAAGGACGCTACTGGGCAGTTGGAGGCATTCGCCCTCCAACAACAACGGAGGGCGGAGGAGCGACGCTCACAACAACGAGCAGAGCGCCGGGTGGCTAAAGCACAGCAAGTTGGCACAGTATGGGGCACAGGTGGTGCATCAGCCAGTCGTCTCAGTCAGTCGACCCGTGGCACCTGGGTATGCCCCGTGACCTCCTGCCAGCGGGCGTTCGACACTTCACGTGGCCTCAACGTGCACCTAGCCTGGCACAAGCGTCGTGGTGACGTCACCGCCACTTAGTGGCGAATGACGCATGTTGTTGCATATCCTGTATAGCCTGGCAGTGATGTCACGGTTAGCGCGCTGCACTACGAACCCAGCGACCCGAGTTCGATTCCCGCTAGTGGCCAACGCCAGTGACGATTATCTGAACCGGTCCTGGGCCTCCCCTAGGTGGACTCAGCATTAAATGAGTGCTTGGTGTGGTATGTAAACATCGCCGCTCAGGAGACAAAAGTGGCTGGGCGTGATGCTGGCCACCCAAACTACCTTGTGTGCTGTTTGAGCCCTACAGTTCGTTAAGGCTAAATGGGCAAACTTTGTTTTTGTATAGACTTGTGTAAATCATCATAATCGTCTTTCACTTGCACGCATTGATGCGTGTATCGTGAGCTAACTACTACATTTTAATTGACGTATTGTATCTAGTCTTATATTTAGATGTGAATAATAACAGTATGAACATGTGGGATGATGGACGGTTCAAACCCGTGCATCATAATATGACTAAGCTATTGCAAATGAGCACACACCGGTAATATATATGTGGCATGTGCACAGCTATTACGGACTGAGCAACAGCAGTACGATGTCTCTGAGAAAGACACATTTACATAACATCCAGTTTGCTATGTTCCCGTGGAAGATTAACGTAACCTTTAAACGGTACTTAAGTAAACCCTCCCTCCACATCATAAACAAACAGTTGCTAACTTCTATGTCGGCATAAAAGAGATGTCAGCACTTTTCCTACTTCCTAAGCATTGTTCCCAACATCCCTACAATATATTTCACTGGACAGTCTACTCATAATCCTGAGAGATTTGTTAAGACATGGAGCAAAAATTAACTCTTACAGTACAGTCGATCTTACAGTACAGCATTTCAAATTCATCATCAGCTGTGATCTATCCACTGCTGGATGAAGACCTCTCCAAATTGTCTCCATCGCTCATGATCTTGCAATGCTGCAACTCGTCCAGCGCCTGCGCATGATTTCATTGCTCCATCTCCGTGGAGGATGTGCCATTTTGGCCGTATTCCCTCCGTGAGCGGACATTGACTTGGTCATCAGTCTCGACCACAGGTCGTGATCCCTTCCAGCGGTGTGTCCTGTCCAACCCCACTGACTTTTCTTCACTGTCAACACGACGTCTTTAATCTGTATACGTTTTCATAATTCTTGTGCTCCTCCTAATTTCCCCGATTGCGGTCCCGAAGATGCACCTGGTTATTATTGCTGCACTATAATAACCTTGAATTTGGGCACATTTTCCAAATAAGTCCGAAGCATAATGTTTCTCTATTCACAACAAATGTCACGCACATTGAGCATAATACCATGTGTCCAAGATGGATATTGTCATAAATACAGGGATGCGCTATTATACATCTCCAGAGAGCTTTATCTGAAATTACCCCCCCCCCCCTCTCCAACCACCGTCTCCCAGTATTCTACGACATGAAGTTGTAAATGTAAATCATCTCAGAAATATTTGTGATCTCCAGGCAGATCGTAAGAGGCTATTAAAATGCTAATTAAACGTTATAGCTTTGAACTGACTCCATTCTGCGTTATTTGGAGGAAATTTTTAGATACGTTCAATATGAATTAACCCTCGTGACATTTTGCACAATGATTTTGTGTGTGTGTGTGCGTGCATATGCTTTGTTTCAGCCAAAACTTTTGGCCAAGGAATTATTGGATATGGTTGCATCTCATTTCAACCTGAAGGAGAAGGAGTTCTTTGGACTTGCCTACGTGGACGAAACGTAAGTGAAGGAGGTCACCCAAATCATATGCCTTCCTATTGCATACGTACACAGACGCATACAGTTACACGAACGTAAATATCCATAGGGTACATACGCATACATCTAATGGTTTTCTGTTACGTTTGTACCCTCTGCAGCACATTTTTGGTTTGTTACTACAATAGGAATTGCCAGTACAGTACTGTATAAACGTTCTTGTAAATCTATGCTTTGACAGTCTTGAGTAGAGTTAGCCGAAAATCAGTTTGCCTATATTTTCGACGTTTGTACATTATGGGACCTTGAGGGATGGCGACGGCTTGGGAAGGCCTTCATCCAGCCGTGAATTGATTATGGCTGATGATGATGGTGGTGAAGACGTGTGCTTTTATTGAACTCAATGTACATTTAATAAAATTGGTGAAATCCAAATTTGGTTTAACACGTAGGCTTTCGCGACCAATATTATTCATAATAAAGGTTTTTGGGTTAGATCGCGTTATTTATAAATGTGTCGTAACCCTCCACCACCCGACACGGCCAATCAGCAAAAAAGTGTCACGTTGACAAAAGACAATTAGTTCACTACTTTAGCCCATCGGTGTGTTGAAGAGTGAATCCACAACATTTATAGTTTGAGTACGACGTTTCGCTAGTAATTACATCCAGCATCATCGGGCAATTCGCCAGAATGGTAAAGCCCTCACTTGCTCCCGGTCTTAAATAGAGCAGCAGGGTGACGTCATCATTTAACTCATTTCAGGTGCAGTGATTTGAGGCTGAGGGGGGGGGGTATTGTAATTATATAATCGATTGGTAATCAGTCAATGGTTATGATTAGTAATGAGTTGTAGATTAGTAATTAGTTGTAGTGTGTGTTATTGTGATTATATGCTACGTTAGTAATCCGTTAATTAGTATGTGTTTCCCCTATAAGGAATTGTAATATGTATTATTTAATAATACGCTTCCAGGCCGCTGTACTAGATCGAATCTGCATGGCAATGAAAGACTCAATTTATTAAAACATAATTACAGAGGAAGGTTAATGTATAACAGTGCCACATAAAACTGTGATGCATTAAGAGTTATGCATTTTTAATCATTCCCAATCTTTCAAGGAAGACGGATCTTCTAAGCGAAGTCGTAAAAAAAATACAGTTCAATTAAGCAATAAAAAGCAATGACAAGTGCAGTATTTAGTGTATAAAGATGGATTATTATAACCGCTCCTCGGTTAACATTCATTATTAATGAGTACAAGAACAAGGGATGATGCCGTGGTGTCACGATTAGCACACTGGATTTGCAATCCAGAGGATGCCAATTCGATCCCATCTCCGAGCGCGGAGGTTGAAACAGCGGTGTGAGTTTCTGAAATCATCCCCAGTGCCTCTGTCCACCCGGTCGAATGCTTGGGTCCATCACAGTCAGTCTATCGGCATGTTGCTTGTGGTGGAGTAAAATGTGGGTACATGTAAAGCACGCACCACGTAAATCGACGCCCCCAAAACCCAAACCCCAAGGGCAGATCTAGGCTCAGTTTTTTTTTTTTGTAAACTGGGAAACATTTTGCCCCTATTTTCCATTTTTAATGTTTTTTAGCGTCTTTTTTTTAAACAGAGGCATCCTTATTCGGTTTGTTCATCCGTCTGTCCAACCAATACATTCTCAGAAATGGTGAGAAATGTATTATAATTCATACCCCTTATGTATGCGCATGTGAATTTAAATAATGGCATCGTCGTTATATGGTGCCCCACTTAACTTGGCACCCTAGGTCATCACCTAGTTTGCCTATATGAACGGGCCGCCCCTGACCATGATCGTCACTGATATCGAGAGCTTAACTCATTGGCTCATTCCTGCTGAAATAAATAAAATAAAAATCTTACTTTCCCACCTCTTCGAAGATGTCTGGCCAGCGTTTGAGGAGTAGGCCAAAATACCCTCAAGAGGGGCTCTCTCGAGCTCCATCTAGTGGACGCCCTTCCGCCAGCCATGCCTGAGCAAGAAAGTGCAGGGTTTCACCAGCACCAAAATACAATGGTCACGTGAGGAGTCATCACCAAAAAAAAAAACCCACACAGTGTATTGAAGCTCATGCAATCCACAACCATGCCACCATGGGGAGACGTTTGGACACCAGGGAGTTTATGGATGGTTCTCAAAGCAGGGGGGAGCAAGAATATTGGCAAAACACCACAGGAACAGATCACATCAGGGTATTCCAAACGCGAATAGATATGAACAAGAAGCAATGTTTGCACGTCTGGCGGCAGTGTTGTCTTCAAGCAGTTATGCTCTTGCGAGCTGCCTGAAACAAATGCTGAACTTGTTAAAACGAGAAGAGTTAACCTGGGACCTTTGGCAGCAAAGGCAACTGACGTGAAAGTTGTCATTCCTAGAATAATGTTGTGCTGTTTCCGTGACGTTGATGTGTATTGACTAACTGTGACATTTGAAGAGTGACAGCAGCAAGCTCTTTGATACATCATTGAGTATACAAGGACAATGTTTATCTACACACACACATGCTAGTGCTGGTGATGTAATCCCAAGCATACAAATGATCACCTATAATTATTGCGTGCACGTATGTTTTTACGTATCTCTGAACGTAACCATTTAGAGGTGCTATTGATTAAATAATTTCTGTGTTTTAAGAACTTTTTTTTTATTGGAAGCAAGTCCGCAACGTTTTCTGTGATATCGATGGATACAGCGAAGTGCTGATATTGACAAATGTCTGCACTGTGCTTTGTTGCTAGCATAACATGCGAACACTGTGTGTGTGTGTCTCTATGGGCGTGGATGTGTGTTTAGTTTGCTGGCTCGTCCGACATTCCTCCTGTGGTTTTGATCAATAATGAGCTTGTTCCAGCCAGACCAACACAACGTGCCCACTCAGGCGTTAGACACATCGCATAGATATTGGCGGAGCAAGGTCATTGTTCAAAGGCAGATGAGCAGTGTTTGATATAATGCGATGTTAGCACTTGAGTGCACGACCATTGCGTTTGACAGCCATGTAATATAGCAGACGCGCGGGTTTGGGATGAGGCGAGGGGAGCGTATAAGTCACTTGCAAGCGGTCGAGGAAATTCGCACGAAAACATCTCCGCCAGGTTTCCATGCTTGCTTCTTATCGCAACGCGAAAAAAAAAAGGTACACGTCACTGCAGGCATAATCTCTCGAACATCATTGTAATTCAGATATAGATTTGTGCTGTGTGACCGTGCAAATTTGAATTTCACGGTGTATGTTTATCCTTCTCACCAACTCGCCAATGTAACATAGGCCCTAGAAAGAGACGGATGGCTTTTTTTTGCTTGGCTCATGCTGTCTGTGTGTTTTTTTCTCCGAGCGTTTATTTTTGCTACGTAATATCCATGGTGCCTACGCTGTCAACAATTAATATGATTCAACATATGAGTGGATTAGCTCATTTAAATGCTGGTTTTGTAAGCAAGTGTTGAATTGAAATTCATCTGCATGCACTTACAGGCCTTAAACGTCCCTGTAGAAACCAGAGCAGAACCTTGGGGGCCAACCTTTCCAAAAGAGAAAAATTTACATATTCGGCTAAAGATAATATAGTTCTTGTGGAGATATGTTTTTTTTACGTGATTGGGAGCGATGGCGTAATGGTTAGTCCACTTCTACGAACCCCGGCGTGCTGGGTTCAATTCCTGGCCATGGCTTACATCAGTGGTGATTATCTAAACTGGTTATTGACCTCTCCGAAGTTGACTCAGCTTTCAATTTCTACCTGGTGCAGTGTCTAAACATCGGCGTTGGCCACGCCACCAATGTGTGGGACGTTGACCTTCATAGGTGCTCGCTAACAGGCCGTGTAGGCTATACAGTGGATCTGTGTCTTTGTTTGCACACGTGGATGTGTGTGTGTGTAGACTACATCTATTCATTTCTTGGCTTTATATAATGTGCACTTTTGCACTTGGATGTTTGCCCATGGAGCACTGTGGGTCAAAAAAAAACCTGCCAAATGTGTGTGGCTTGAAGATAGACACTCTTTGCACTGTCAATCTATACTTTAAATTTAGCCGATCCATATGACACCTACTCATTTTTCCAAAGGCCGCTGTGTCAGCTGTGCCAGTGTACATTGCACAGGTCTTACCAAAATCTATTTTCCCAGGAATTGGTTCTCTAAATTGAACCGCAAAATATCCAATACACTCTTCACATGCATTCTTATTCTTATCATCATTTTGTAATGCTTTTGGGGAATGCTGTATATATCTTGGTATCAATAAAATAATCATACTAAAGAATCTAGTGCGAGCCAATTTGGTGTGCTGTCGAAAAACACGTTAAAACTATGGCCAAATTGAGTCACTTGTGTTTACATGCTTTAGTATTGTCCTTTGCACAATCAGCGGGGTGGAGTGGTGGTACAATGGATAGCGTGCCGCGTTGTGAACTCGAGCGATCCAAGCTCGATTCCCTGCCACAGACCGCATCCAGTGGCGGGGGATGAGAACCGGTCCTGACCGGGCATGGTGAAGTATGGTAGAAAAGCTCGCACGACTGACATGGCGGCGGTCATGGCAGATTGAGAATGACTGGAATTTATTTATTTTACGCTATCAGCATTTCCCGTGCCATGATGTGATATCACCAAAGGCTTTAAAGCCTCCGTTGCGTCAATTTGAAGCACACTATCACTACATTTATTGATTAATGTACTAAGTTTAAACAACTTGCATTCGGCTTGCACAAGGTTAAACCAGTAGAATTGCATGCAAACATCGAAGGGCATTGCATTGTCAGAAAAAAAAACGTAAATAGCATGCCGTTTTGTAAATAATTCATAGCAGTACAAAGAGAAGGCTCTCCTAAAAGCACTTGCTTAGAAACTCCCTTGTCTATTCTGCCTACCTTCACCAACCCGCTCTGATCAGTGTGGTGAAGTTTGGTCATACAATCCCTGTGACTCACACCGGCATGAGGACGCCTTCATCCAGCAGTGGATTGACAGAGTTGTCGGCCTACTTGTATATGTACCATACATCGCACACGGTTTGAAACCATGTATGTATGTATGTTGACGTGGATGAGTTGTGCATAATAATATATGTGGCCTCCGATACTTGAAAGCCATTATATTGGTTTTTTTTAGTTGTAAAATGTGGTTCGCACACTGAACTGTGTACCCTGTAATCCTGAATTCAGTTCCCGGCTCCAGTTATAATACCAGTGGCAAGAGAGGCCCGAACCAGTCTTGGCCCACCTTCAACCAGCACTGAACATTTTGGTCAAGTATGGTCAATCAACCGGGAGACCTTTATCCAGTGTATAAATGGTTATATTTCAATTATTGTTCATCAACAAAGGGGCTAAATAAGTTTGGTCATAGGGGGGAGACGGTGCTCTGAAGTAATTTATAAACAATCAACTCCAACCTCTGAGGCATGAACTTACGAGCGTCGAAATTGGCCTCTGTGGAGGGTGAGTGTCGCTGCTGCTGTGGGCTGACTGAGCAAGTGTTGGTGTGCTAGCAGCTGCTGAAACACATCTTTATTCAAAATCAGAATCTTTATTTATACCGGAGGAATCTGATGAGCTCTAAAGCTATTTTTTTCAGATGTTCAGTAGGGGTGGGTCAGAAAGTTACAACAACAAACAGTACGGAAATACGATAGGGGTGCAAAATATAGAAAAGTAAGCAAATTTATGTTTATTTTACCAGACTGGGAAGACAGTTGTCCACTGGTCCTCTGTTCCTACAGCACGGGAACACTTTACAAAGGTCCCCTTAATCCTGTGATGAAAGTAGAGCGTGAACGATTAGTCTGTTACATCGAAAAAGTCGACAAACATAATTGACGACTCTTTTCGTGGTCAATCACTCGCGACCCATCAAGCCATTCTCAGTGGCTGCTGATGATGCCGACGACATCACCAAGCTGCACCCATCACCTCCCGTCCAGCGGCATGCGTGGGAACAGGGGTGAGGTTTTTCTTTACCCTCCCCCCCCCCCAAATAATTTTGAGTAATCCGATGAGTCGAGTAATCGAACAGTTAATTGGTAGATTAATAGATTACTTAAACGATCGGATAGCCCAAGTCTATATTAAAGCCAGTGTAGTAGAAACATTGTGACACTTAACTCTTCTGATTACGGTTCTGTAGGTTAGATGGTATAATAGCACATTTCTTGCCTATAAACATTTAATGGTTGAACTTACGAACCTAACTTAATATTGAATACGAGCCCTGAAAATAAATTTGATAGCGTTAAATGTGAGAATTGTGTTTTGTGTTGAATGGGGTACCACGGTGCATATGGAGTGTTCTTATCAATGGCACCTGGCAATCCAGCAGCATTTAGCAAGTCTTAACTCCACTGATGAGATGGAGAAGGTCAAAACCAACTCAGAGGTTGCTTTTGTCTAATCAAATGCTGCTTGATAATGTTGGTCAGTAAAGGACAAAAGGCTGGTTTATGTGCAAATGAAACCCATCCCGGTCTCTTGAGTTCTTACCTGGATAAGCAAATACACGTGGAGACATCAGACAGGCTTCTACTTATACATGCTATTACCGATAATGTATGAGCCTTGTATTATAATGTAAAAGCGAACAGTAATGTGGTTCTAGGCGCTTAGCCGATTTATGTGTTGAGTGCATTTTCCGATGGATCTTTACAGGCCCCACCTTGGACCCCGTGGACTTGGTGGGAGTTGTTTTATCACCAGTTATCACGACAGCCTCTTTGCTCTTGCATGTTTAAAGCAGCAAATGAGTTATTTTTAATGTGCGTGTGATAACAACATACTGTACCGTCCCAAATGGATCGTATGCTATTGATACATATTATTTAGATTATTTGGCTGCTATACATTTCCACGTGGTAAGCCACTTTCTTGAGCTATCGTTTGTGGCTAGGTCGCTTCTGAAAAATAAGCTTATAGCTCAGTAGGCTTTACCTGGTAAAATGAAAAAATAGTTTAGTTGTTTTGTGATTTGCTTACCTTTCCTATACTTTGCACTCCTTGTATTTTTGTATTGTTTTTTTGTTACTTTCTGACCTGCCCTTACTGGACATCTGTGAAAAAGAGCTTTATAGCTAATTGAATTCCTCCAGTCTAAATACATGTTCTGATTATAATATATGTGTGTGTATGTGTGGGATGATTGGTGGCACATTAGTCAGTGTACTGCACTATGACTCTGGAGACCTGAGTTCGATTCCTAACATCAGTGTTGAGCAATATTTGAACCAGTCTTGGGTCACCTTCACCAATCCACACTGACCAGAATGGTGAAGTATGGTAAAAAAATATCCATGACCGACACTGCGTGGGGAGGTCTTCATCCAGCAGTTGATGGACAAAGGGCTGTAAATGATAAATGTTGCTTTATAAATGTAAAATGCTAAGCTGCTATAATTGCAAAACATGTATGATTCGTGTTTTTTTGCTCATTTTTAAAAGGCAGATGAAGGGTAAGGTAAAAAAAAGGTTGAAATCAGGTTTAGTGTGGGTAAAAGAATGGGAAATATACCATGTATCGTATTTGGAGGGGTAATACAATCACAGTCTCTGCATAATAGATCAACAATGCAGCTGAATTGCTGAAGGGTAGTGAATTAACCTCAACGAAAATCGTTTTGCTTGAGGTTAAATAGGAAATGCATAATTTTAATTTTTCATCATACTCTGCGAGGCTTCCGATAACAGTTGGCAAGCCTCGTGCATTTCAGCGACTTGCCCCCTGAGTCATGTAGCCAGAGGGAGCTGTATTGTTTTTCAAACTGTATTATTTCCAACAACTGATTTAAAAAAATAAACAGTTTTGATTTGTGCATGAAAAGGACACTTACATAAAGTGTAATACAGGAAACTGGGGGTACATCGTTTTTGTTGCTGAAGGAAACGATTCGGCATGTTGGTTGGTATTTTTTTTAATGAAACTTACCAATTACATCATATTTGAAGAAGTGAATTGGTGAAGCCAAAATGAGAATCTTAAAGTATATGATGATGATGATGATACTCCTGTGAAGAATTTGCATTATTAGCTCTTCCGGTGTGTTTTTTTTGGCATGATGTCTGACGTTTCGCCTCTTGAGCCAGGAGCTTCTTCAAGAACTGAAGATGGCACAGTTGGAAATACCTCCTTAGTAGTATATTAATTGCGCTACGCTGTTTTTCTTGCAGAGGTCTTTACAGTTGGCTTCAGTTGGATCGTAGAGTCCTAGAACACGATTTCCCCAAGAAATCCAGATGTGTTGTGCTGAATTTCACCGTCAAGTAAGTGGCACCCTTACATACGTCTAATTGTTTATACAATTTCATAAACGTTGAATGTGATTCAGAAATAACTACCGCATGTTTTGTTGTTGTTAACAATTCACTCATGCCTAAAGTTAACTTATTATGCTTCCTTGGAAATAGAAAATGCAATTTTCAATTGAAACTATTTATCATGTTTTTGTTATACTAAAGCAACTGTCTTGGCCTTTTACGACCATTGATTCTTGCAGAAAAATTGCGCAATTAGAGTCAAGGAAAATCTAATATGTATACAAAAGTATACGTGAATATATACACTATTTATTTGCACTACCTGCTATGACACACGGTTCAGAAACATGGAACAAAAGCTGAAAAGTGCACAGAGCAGCATGGAGAGAAGCATGCTTAAGATTAGTTTGAGAGGTAAAACGAGGAGCAAATGGATTGGAGGACATATTAACGACATAATCAAACCTATTGGGCAGGACACATTGCTAGAAGGAGTGATTGACAAATGGTGAAGAATAATAACAGAATAGGCAGGCACGGAATGGAACGCGCCCATCAAGGAGATGGAACGATTATATCGATTACTGGGCAGGATTGTGAGAGGTGGCTGTCGCTTGGGGAGGCTTGCATCCAACAGTGGATTGACCATGGCTGATGACGATGATTTATAGGTAGGCAGAGGAAAGGGAGGTTGAACAAAATCAATATCATGTGACGGAGAAGAGAAGAGCTCCTTAATCTGGATTTAAGCAGTCAGAGAAAATCGGAAGTATGGACAGTGCTTTCGATTTGTAATCTTTCTCTCAGAGATTGATGGGCGTTTGAGAAAGAGAAGGCAGTGCTCGCTGAAGCAGAGGTAGCAGAAGGAAGAGGGGGGGAGACGAGATGAGAGAAGTGGGAAAGAGCGAGTGTGTAAACTCTACAAAAAGGCTAAATAAATGTAGGCGTGCATTTATTTATGGAAGACAGTTGAGGAATGTGAAGATGTATTCAAGGATCTCTTTTTTTCATGGGTTCAAATGAAGAGCCAACCAGCGGTCGTGTCTGAAAATGGGAGGTTGTGGACTTGAGAAAATTGTCACTTTTGTGCAATCGTTAATTTGTGTGCATTTTTTGTTTGCACATCTGCTGCCCTCTGGTGGCAGGGAGCCTGTAAATTCCTCCAGCTGGGTAAAATAAAAATTAAACTACTTTTTTATTTTACCAGTTAAGGCACACTGAGCTATAAAGTTATTTTTCCGAAACGATTTAGCCACAAATGATAGCTCAACGAAGTGGCTTATCACGTGGAAATTTGGCCACAAATTATAGCTCAACGAAGTGGCTTATCATGTGGAAATTGATAGCCAAATACTCTAAACACGTTTATAAATGTGGAGGGAAAGACCGGAGGACCGGTTGAAAAATCCACGGGGAGAACATGCAAACTACTAATATACAGGCGGCAGGGTCGGGATTGAACCCACGACCTCCAGTATATCAGGCGAGGTAGCTAACATCTCGCCACCGTGCAGCACTGAATTACGTTATTACCATTCCCCTAGGCATGTCTAGGCATTTGAGGACCAATTGACACATTTTCACGAGCTCGTGGAAAGGATAGCAACCATAAGGCATCGCTGTGCTTAAAAATATAAACGTGCTTCAGATGAATCTTCTCAACGTTGCGTGTGTCATCTCCGCGTAACAAATATTCCCCCTCTCAATCAGAAAGATTTCTGGCTCCCAGGTGTCTTTTATACAGGTAACAAGCTGAGATTAGGAGCACTCCCTTTAAGAGTGTGCTCCTAATCTCAGCTCGTTACCTGTATAAAAGACACCTGTCCACAGAATCAATCAATCAGATTCCAAACTCTCCACCATGGCCAAGACCAAAGAGCTCTCCAAGGATGTCAGGGACAAGATTATAGACCTACACAAGGCTGGAATGGGCTACAAGACCATTGCCAAGCAGCTTGGTGAGAAGGTGACAACAGTTGGTGCGATTATTCTCAAATGGAAGAAACAGAAAAGAACTGTCAATCTCCGTCGGCCTGGGGCTCCATGCAAGATCTCACCTCGTGGAGTTGCAATGATCATGAGAACGGTGAGGAATCAGCCCAAAACTACACAGGATGATCTTGTCAATGATCTCAAGGCAGCTGGGACCATAGTCACCAAGAAAACAATTGGTAACATACTCCGCCGTGAAGGACTGAAATCCTGCAGTACCCGCAAGGTCCCCCTGCCCAAGAAAGCACATATACATGCCCGTCTGAAGTTTGCCAATGAACATGTGAATGATTCAGAGGAAACTGGGTGAAAGTGTTGTGGTCAGATGAGACCAAAATGGAGCTCTTTGGCATCAACTCAAATCGCCGTGTTTGAAGGAGGAGGAATGCTGCCTATGACCCCAAGAACACCATCTCCACCGTCAAACATGGAGGTAGAAACATTATGCTTTGGGGGTGTTTTTCTGCTAAGGGGACAGGACAACTTCACCGCATCAAAGGGACGATGGATGGGGCCATGTACCGTCAAATCTTGGTTGAGAACCTCCTTCCCTCAGCCAGGGCATTGAAAATGGGTCGTGGATGGGTATTCCAGCATGACAATGACCCAAAACACACGGCCAAGGCAACAAGAAGAAGCACATTATGGTCCTGGAGTGGCCTAGCCAGTCTCCAGACCTTAATCCCATATAAATTCTGTGGAGGGAGCTGAAGGTTCGAGTTGCCAAACGTCAGCCTCAACCTTAATGACTTGGAGAAGATCTGCAAAGAGGAGTGGGACAAAATCCCTCTTGAGATGTGTGCAAACCTGGTGGCCAACTACAAGAAACGTCTGCCCTCTGTGATTGCCAACAAGGGTTTTGCCACCAAGTACTAAGTCATGTTTTGCAGAGGGGTCAAATACTTATTTCCCTCACTGTAGCTCAGTAGGCTTCACCTGAAAATATTAAATAGTTACGTTGAGTTAAATTACCAGGTAGCCAAAACGTATGTTTTTCTAAACGTGTTTAAGGTCAATAGCATTTTGCTTAACGTTTGCAGGTTTTACATCGAAAGTGTTGCTTAATGTTTGCAGGTTTTACATCGAAAGTGTTGCGTACCTGCGGGAAAACACAGCTGTGGAACTCTTCTTCTTGAATGCGAAAACCTGCATATCCAAAGTGAGTATCACATTCCATATGGAGACAGAGTTCTTTCTATGCCACTGTGTAGGCTGCCGCAGTTGTACTCTATCGCTCCCTAATGTGGTTCCGGCTTGCTCCGTGTGTTGTTCGGCATTGCCGTCCACGTGCCGAAGAAGCTCCCAGACCATGCAGCGAAACATCGGAAATCCTTCCGAAGAACGCGCGATTACAACCGGACATGCATTGGAGTGCTATGAGTTCTTGTCTCATCGTTATTACCATCGGTGGTAGAAGCATCACCATATTTATCATTTGACAATGTTCACCAGGTTTCCTGTTGACAATACAGTAGATTGTACAACTCAGTGGGATTTCAGATGGTTCTATCACTGAATGGGTTCTGGAGAATTCTAATGAGATTGAACATTTCAGTTTTAGGGATCCCAAGTACAAATTTTTCATGGTTCGTATATTTGTCTGTTCATCAAGCAGTTTGTCTTGCTGTTTGTGTGTTAATGAATGCATTTGTTTAGGGAGTCGTGAAACGTTTCTAGACATTCTTGGGAGAGAAAAAAAAATATCATAGGGAGTGCATATTTGACAACCGACTATTACGGTGCATTTGCAAGACTGAGCACTGCATGTGCAGTCACTGGCACAGGCGCAGCACCTTGGCAGTGAAAATACTAATAGCTTCCTAATGCTTATTACAGAACATGACTGCTCTATATTTCTAGCTAATTGCACCAAAGTGGGCCCTTGTACGGAACAACGTGGTGCACACGCGAGCAGAAGGCTGGCACGTGAGAAATGCTCGATCCACCACCCCCCCCCCCCCCCCCCCCCGTGGCGAAGGAGATGCCATCAATCTCTCGAGCAAACACATTTGACATCTTTATGATTGCCAGGTTCAAATAACGCGAGCAGATGCTAAGGAACATTACACTTCGGCGCCATTACCGGAATCAATCAAATAATTAGGTCGTAAACACTTTGATACATGAAGTTATAATTATCCCCCTCTGCTGCAATAAGAAGCAAAAAATCCCTCTCCCCAACTCCGTGTGCCACTTCATCTCGACAATCGTTGTTACTTCCGTGGCGTGTGCGATATTTCTGATAGTTTCTTGTCCGTATTTGCTGTTCCTATTATTTATATATACATAGGCTCACGCAGTAAACAAAACTGCATAGTGCTGTTTTCACCTTCACGTTTAAGACATCTGGGCGGATCCGTGTGTCGTTTGTTTTGTTTGCAACTTTTACCAAGCGTGTCCAGTGAAGTAACTGAACTTGTTTTGCTGAATTGGCTTCATTGAGCCACGTAAGTTGTGGGTAAGAAAAATGACGAAAACAACCAATGAGCAACAGACCACCTTGTTAACTCGAATCTCGGCAATGATTTGTTACTAAAATCACATTCTATAGCTCACTGGTTTTAAAGCTGATGCACAATTCAAGCCACTGGTGCGTAACGTTTTGCACTGCTTTGATGTTTTCGGATTGCATTTGCCGTGTGCTGTAGACTCTAAACAGCTTTGACCTCTGCATGCATAACGAACCATTTGCAGCATTTCATTGCGTAGAAATTTGCTACATTTAAACAAGAATAACAATAATACGGGCTTTTGCGCCTTTATCACCGGGGGAACCAGCATTGTGTTCTACAACTGCGTAGATTTTTCGCGGTTGTGCTGTCCAGCTCTCCCGATGCATTTTCGGGCCTCTACTGCGTGTCTACTGCGTATCGTTCGGCAGTGATGTTCCGACGTTTTTCTGCGTGTGTTGGGAGCTTCGTCGATGAAACTTCAGGAAGTGAATATAACTCCCAGAATGTAGAGTGTAGAGTGACACGTCGGGCATCGTGTCCCTTGAATGTGCTTGCTCCTCAGTGTCTGCAGTGTTCATGTTTTCACCAAGGCCCTCTGCGCGGGTCATCTTGGTGAAACAGCTTAAGGCTGAAATGTGTTCTTGTCCGTGTCAACAAAATAAAATCAATCTGTCAACACGTTCCACTGCACGTGCTGGGAAATTCAGGAACGGGGATACGGTGCCGTATTGATTCCCCGAAACATTTGCCCCAACACGAGGCGCAGACATCTTGCCGAACAAAGCAGGCCACCATCGTCGACCCACTCTTGACAAACGCAGAACCATGTTGGTTTTTCACCGGCGGCCCGCTGCCGGTTGCACGGGCGGGAAAACAACACGAGCAGAGCGTGTCGGGGTACGGCGGGGGTCAAAGCCACCCGCCGAGCGGCACCTGAGAGACACGTGATGCCTGGGAGCAGCTGCCCGCCTCTGGTAGGGTGGGAGGCGGGGGCTGCCACGGTGGCGAGATGTTAACTACCTCGCCTGGTATGCAGGAGGTCGTGGGTTCGATTCCGACCCTTGACGCCTGTAGATGTGGAGTTTGCGCGTCTCTCTTCACTGTGGACGCGTGGAATGTTATCCGGGTCCTCAGGTTTTTCCCTCCGCATTTAGATACGTGCGTTTAGAGTATTTGGTTTGCTATACATTTCCACGTGACAAGCCACTTTTGTTGTGGAACTATCATTTGTGGCCAGGTTGCTTCTGACAAAAAGCTATAAAGCTCAGTGGGCCTTACCTTGTGAAATAAAAACTAGTTAAGTTCAATCTCTAGGCATTAGCGTTGATGGGACTTGGGTGATGATTTAATGTTCTTTTATTTATTTCAGTACGTAATTGATTATTCATCTTTGTGTTTTTATACTTCTGTTATCTATTTGATGAATTTTATGGGTATTTTAATGGGTCGTAAATTTAGATGTTAGCTTGCAACACTTTCAAGTCATTTTATGGCTTAAACGTGTGGACTTTAACACCTGTTTAGCAGAGGAAGTGTTAAAGCACCGTTTTTTATACTCACAGCATATCTTTATCGTGGTGAAGGATCCTCTTTGCCGTTGTTTTCAATGAAGTGCCATTTGAAAACATTACATAGTGCAGTGTATTCTATTGTGCTCAATAGGGAGATAGGGTCAAATCTGTTAATGAAGAGAAAAACGCATGCAAACTAAATTATATCGTGGGCTGGAAATCCATGAGCTTCAAACAGGATGCAAAAATTGTGTAAAAAGCACACAGCAGCCAATTGTGCATTATGCAATAACCCAGTGCTAATTGGGATGGAACCGGTCCACAGCTGTCTATCATTGCATCACTGCTTCTATCAGTCGGTCACATTTACTCAAATGCATTTTGATGGTGATCTAAGACGAGGACCACAATGTACTTCAGGACATGTGGATGTTGTTTTTCCATGTGCACAAATAGCTGTGTGTTTTTTACATTTGTGCGCCTTGTTTGGAACTTAGGGAAAGAGGGTATGAATCTGTCTCTATCGTTCATCTCCATAGTATAACGATCTTCAGGCAAGAGGCAGAAGCAGCAATGACTGTGCTTGCCTAGTTTTGCATACTTGTAAACAGTATTACTTTTGGTGGATTGCACGAAGTACAGCAGCATGTATTTGTGTTTAAAATCGTGACATTATTGTGGGACTCACAACGTGGTCATGCCGATAAAAGTGCATGCAAAAATATTACATATTCGTGAATTTAAAAAAATGTTAGTTGATACAAAAAAATATATATTGCAAGGGAAATACGTTGAAATAAGTTGCTTGTTGCAAGAATATCTGTGAATTGCGTTTTCTCTGCCAGTTTGGGGTCTTGCGCATTTGTTAAATGGACATCTGTAAAAAAAGAGCTCCATAGGTAATCAGATACCTCTGGTATAAATAAAGATTCTGATACTTTTTTTTATAACAACAGAGAACACTCGGCATAATAATAACCCATATTGTGGCTTTTTCTCTTTAGAATTTCACAAATGTAAAGCAATTTTTACAGCATATGCATCACTTATGAACAGTATTTTAAGAATGCTGCAATGCCATACGTAATCATCACAATGCATCGTATTTTACGTGTGCATTTATTGGTGAATGAAGAGTTTATCTCTATGCTGTGGAGCATGCAACTGTTTCTGTGTTATCAGCCATCAATAATAGACAATGTAATGAATTACTCCATTGTCCGTGAATTACTCCAATGTCTGATTCATACAATCTCTGTTGTAAACATTATTAATAAATAATACACAATTAAATTTGCCATAAATATATTGTGTGTATATATGTAAAAGATGTTTCGATCAATTGGGAAGTGGTTAGTACTATGAACCAACCGACTTGAGATGAATTCAGAGCCACTGCCAACAATCGGTCGCGAGTGAGAATACTATTATCATGCAGAGTACAATGTAATTATCCAGTAGGGTATCTGGGAGGATGTCTACCGAGGAGATGGACCAATGAGGTCAGTTCGCGTGGAGGTTCGGGATGCGTTGTTGCAACGCACGATCGCTCAAGGAGGTGGCAAATGCATGGGGAGGCATTGACCAAGGTTCCTGATGATGATGATGATGAAATAAATAACAAAGATAACTAAGTAAAAGGTAACTTTCATGCAGGTGAGAAAGCACCTGCCATAAAATAGCCAATTGTGATGGTTTAACCCAACTTCTAGCTGCAGATCGCAGCAGTTGTTTCTGCTGCCCTTAGACGAATTGTGAATAATGCACGCGTTGTTCTGCTTCAGCTGCCAGCCTCTTTTCCCCAGGGGTAACCGGCCGTTTTGAGATTATTAGATTTGAGCCAATAAAACTTCATTCGGAAAGTACTTTGTGAGCCTTTGCTTGGGTTGATTTGTTTTAATAATCCTGATTTAACAATCCTTAAGCGGAACCCCACTGTGTGGTCAATTGGGAAAGGTCCATTCTCCACATTCATTACGACCGCTCACTCTCTGTTGCATAACCTCATCCATGAATCCTAATCAATACAACGTTTTATTTTATTCGTTATTGATTTTGTTCTTGTTACTTTTGTGAGTAGGCCACGGGCTGTCTCGAGGGCTCCTTCCGCCAGCAGTGCAGTGAGCAATACATCACAGTGCTGCACCTTTACTTTTTAAGTTTTACTTTTAAATATTGCTTCACCAAACACGTAAAGATGACTTTTAAACGTTTCAGAATTTTCCGTTAAATAGTTCCCGAATTGCCACGTTGTGCATTGGATTGAGTATTCCCATCAAACTTTCAGTGACGCCGAATTCTTTTGCAAACCTACACTATTTAATCGCTGAACGGAACATGTCCGAGATGACCTCTACAAAGGAGAGGGAGCGATGAAATCAATTTGTGTGCAGGCACTCTGTGCCGTATTACATCACAGGTTCGTGAGACGTCATGGTGGTTTGGGGAGGCCTTAATCCAGCAGCGCATTTTCCAAGGCTGGTGATGCCAATAATGATGACAATAATTATGGGTTTGATTGATGGCCCTAGCTCTATGATTAGATAGATAGCTACTTATCTTTATAATTATTATTTTTCCTCAGTTATAAATATATAATTTCCTATATATGTAATCACTTTATGAAAATGTGCTCTTTAATACATTGATAAACTGCTGGAATTTGAAAAGAAAAATTGGTTGTTACTTTCCTCCATTTTTCGCTGTTTCTATCAGCTTGTTATTGCAGAGTATCTTTAGCTAATATTACATATATAGTATCACCTCAGCAACATTATGTATACAATATTTGCACCATGTTACATTAGGTAATCTATTTAATCCAAATGCATTATAATATGGTTTTCCATGAAATGGCAGAAGTCCCAAATAACAATTCTTATTGTAAGAATTGACCATTTCTACCTTTCCTGAACATAATATATTTATTGTGTCTGTTCCCGCTTACAAATAGTACGTGTTTATCCGTTGTCATGTCCTGTGTACCCTTCTCTGTTAGAAAATGTGTTTTGCATTTAGTATCCTTCTTGCGAAACGTTTAACAACATTCTGGCCTTGTAAGTTTATTGCAGATTCCTGTTGTTATTCTGACTGATTTATAGTAATTGTGACGCATTTACTTCCGTAAATATTTCTAGAAAACACGTTTGCATTACTCTCATTGCTCCGGAGCACTGCATTTCAGCTAAACAAACACAAGAGGCATCATGTAAGGCTTTAACTAATTTGCTACAAAGCTCTGTCATCATATGGCTGGTATTGCAGGTGGTTACGATTAGGACTATAATCATTACGCTGTTTATGTGATGGGAATTCCTGGGTGTGGATGTGTTTAGGAGTGGAATGGGGTTTGTGGAGAGAGTTGTTATTCTGGGTGGGCTGGCACTTGAGGAGGAGTGTGTCTGTTCACCAGATGGAGATCATTAATACCGGCTAAGCATCTACACTGCTCCATAATTAAGTTAAAATAGACAAAAAAAAGCTCCCGCCTACTAATCTTCTGATAATCTGTAAACTATTTCATCTTTATATATATACTGTAGACACTTGCCTCTATCAGTAAATTATTTTTGGCGACCCATCGAACAAAGATGGTCACTGCATCGTGCGCTTTTAGATACGCTTCTGCGGCCGTCTGGAACGCTCTTCCTTTCAATATTAGGTAGCCCCTGGAGATATGTACGTTTAAATCTAGATTGAAAACTCATTTCTTTAGAACTACCTTTTGTGTTTAGTTTGTTGTTCTTCCTCCGCACCTCCGATGTGCACGGTTGGCTACATACGGTACAAAAGAAGTTCAACATGTACAATTATCTATTTTCACATATCTTTTTGCCTAAGTTATGTGACTTTGGTGCCTTTCGCCATAAGCGACTTTGCTCATAACAGGGCATTACGAACTGCAAAGGCTCTGCTGTATAGCTCTCGGATGTGTTCTCGGGTTGTGCTGCGTTTTTGTTTGGCATGATTGTACGATGTTTCGCTCCAAATCCTGGGCGATTCTTGCGGATCTGACCAATTCATTTCCTGAAGAAGCTTCAAACACGTGGAGTGAAACGTCAGACATCGTGCCTTACAACACGTGGTCGGTAAAACTCTAGAATACATAAGAAATGTCATTACTTAGAAAATAAACTTTAATGCCAAATCTGCTTGTACGAGGGTGAAGGCAATGTAGTTTTGACTCAGTTCAGTCATTCCACCCATTTGTAAACGTTTCCATGATTCGCATGTGTGTTGAACTTCCTTCACACTGTACGCAGCCATCCATGCTCATCACAGGGGCGGAGAAAGGACAACAAACGAAACTTAAAGCAGTTCTAATGAAATGCGTTTTCAATCAAATAAAAAATAGAATTTTCATTTCATACAGTTGTCACCATATTACAGCCTCATTCTTTCATATACTGTGTCGTCTTTACTCCCTCATGAGACGAATACATATCTCAGCACAATGTTCTTTTCACATACAGTTTACACACATCCGCATACATCTAGAGAGAAAAAAATATTGCAAATGAGTTACCAGGATTACGCCCCATTTCCTACGTAATATTTAGTGTTGAAGTCACGCACATAACGTTACAGATATATGAAAAGTCTTTACTTATTAGCACGCCCTGGTAAAAGGGTGGGACTCAGCTGCAGAAGAGTGGTGAGTGCCTTGCAATCGCAAGGTTGCAAGTTCGAATCCCCGTTGGGGTAGGGAAGGGATGACCCGGCCCATTATCCCTCCAGCATTGATATCACGATGACCGCTTTTCAGGGAAGTCAACAAGTAGCTTTTCACTGGAGAGCCTCGCCTTCACCATAATAGGAACGTGGAATTTCCACCACAGGCTAAGGGAGATGCGCAAGCCCCACCTGAAGTCTCGATCTGAGCAGGATGTCACTTCAGACTTGGGAACCGCGCTGTATTTTTATCAGCGACAGACTTTGGGGTCGTCCATAAATGACGTCACGCACCTGGGGGGGGGGGGAGGGGGTCAGACATTTGTGACGATGTGTGACGAGGGGTGGGGGGGGGGTTTAGAAATGTGACGTCACATCAAAATGCGCAACTTTAAATAAATATAGACAACACGTTCTACTTCATTAAATAATGAATGTTTACTCCTACAATATAAGAATGCAGCGCCACATTAAATACGCACTACATTGTCAATAGTTTAAAGTGATTTGAAGCATGTTTTATTTTTTTGGGGGGGGGGGGGGGGCAGAGCATTGTGACGTCATATTTGAGGGGGGGGTCTGACTTTTTGTGACGCCGTGTGACGAGTGGGGGGGGGTCAATAATCGTCAAAAATCGCGTGACGTCATTTATGGACGGCCCCTTTCATAAATGTGGTGACATCGTGTGATACAAGTCCGCACCGTGCTGTACGTTTGCTATAATGTTACAATTGTCAGTTCGGATGGCACACTGTTAGTCGCTTGTGTCGTCGGGGAAAAAATGCGGCGCAACGAGTTTGGAATCTGTGCAATCGCCATCATTGTTTACTTGCACGCTTCATCTATACAATAGTTGGTTGGCTCCAGTGCAATATTTACCGTTCAGTGTGTTTTAAATGCCAGGTTTACTGAATTATACACACACACCACCACCACCACCCCCATCGCTCTACGATTTGTCCTGACACACGCTGCAAAATGTTGTAGTCACTGTCATCACAGCTGCTTCCAGCCAATGGACCTCCCCAAAACTCGTGCCTGACATGACCTCCCTGTACACCCACACTTCGGCTAACACAAGTGAACATATTTTTTTTAGCGGTTCCCCCCCCACCGTCCTTCCTGTAGAGAGCAATGTACCGTGCCTCGAGTATCAGTGTCTGACTTAGCGGAGCAGTCGTCCTGATGATCGCTGTGATGTGCACCACACACCCACACTGACTGACTGGCTGCCTCGCGACTCTGCGTGTTGTCCACACAGGGGATAATTGAAGTGGACAGCGAAACGGCTTTCGAGCTCTCTGCGTACATACTACAGGTATGCCTTTGTGTTAAATTACGCGTGTGTTTTCACGTGTGGTCGTGCAGTGGTTAGCGCGCCGCGCTCCCCGAACCTGGCGAACCGAGTTCAAATGCCCGCTCAAATGAGTGTGTGAACATCGCCACGAGGGAGACAAAGGCGGCCGGGTGTGGAGCTGGCCACCAACTCCCTTGTGTCCTGTGCCAGCCTTCATAGGTGCTCGCTAACAGCACTTGCCCCTACAGTCTGTTAAGGCTCTATGGGGTGATCTTTGTCTTTAGCTTTGTGTGTTCATGGGAAGAGAGAGTATACCCATGCGTATAGATGCATTGTTTTTAAAAAGCTTTGCAACTAACGTTGGAATCATATTCTTAGTTCTTTCGGTAAAGTCACGTGACTTTACCGAAAGAACTAAGAATATGAATTACTGCAGTCACGAAAGCTTTAAATCAAAATTTAACGTTGGAATCGTTAATGCATCTGCTTTGTGGGTGGGTCTTTTGTGTCGCTGTAACAACATGGGGTTAACGATAACTCTTGTAAAGGAGATGCAATGTAAATTCAAGTTTCGTGTCATTGCAATTGCAGTTCTGTGTATCATTGAGCCTCCTTTTAATCTGTTCAAGAAGCGCATGCTCGCCTCAACGCTGTTGGGAGTCGGATCTGAAAAAGAAATCATCCTCGCACAGCTGATGCCTGTAGTAGTGGCACGTGACACGTGTGCCTGCTGTACCAAACGTAGGGCCACTGAAGCAGCTGCAGTGTAAGAGATGTGCTTAAGCAGCCGGGAGCGTTGCGCTAATCTGCATGTAACAGCTGATAACCCCCCCCCCCGCGAACGGAGCTGCAGTGTGTGTGTGTGTTTCAATGGGAGTTGGGATATCTGTGGAAGGAATAAGGACTTTTGAAAAAGTACAAAACTTTAACAAGCTGTGTCAATCGCCAGCTGTGATACCGGCACGATGCAGACTGAATGACGCGTTAGTCGGCAGTGTTGACTCAACATTTCCACCGACGGTAACGCAAAGGCGAATATAACGTAGGTGGGAGAAAGGGGGGGGTGAAGGTGATGCTTGCTTTGCACGTTGTTAATAAATCACATGTGCTGTGTTACTTTTCTTGTCTGTAACGTTATAACATTACCGGGTGAGAATAATGAACGGTGCAGAGGGCATGTGGCCCCCATTTCTGCGTGTTGCTGCAATGTAATCGGGCAGAACAGAAATTGTTTTTGGCTTCTCATGGTTGAATTGCCACTTCCAGGTTCTCCTGCTCCTCACGTCCCGCCGTTTCCCTGTACCACCCTCCCCCCTCTCTCTCTCTATCCCTTGGCTTTCTCTGCCTGCCAATCCGTTAATACTACAGTAATTGGTCTTTCCTAGAAGTTGCTATAGACCTTGGCTGGTCACCAAAGTGTCTTGTTTTCCGAAGCACATTTCTGAACTTACAACAATATTGAACTACTGTAAAATATGTAAGGCCCCATGGTGTATAGGGCAGTCTCCAACTCATTATCCACCCTGTCTCTCTGGCCTCTCTATTTATGTCCAATGGAGAAGAACCATTGCCCAAACCGTCGCCTATTATATATTTGTCCTTTTGAGGCAGTGTTATTTACGAATGTTTTGAGCTTTCTATTTCTATATATACGTAAAAACTTATGTATTTTTGGGGATAAAGGGGCGGTGATTGTGTTTGTAAGCAAGTGTGAAATGGGGTGTTATGGTGGCGAGATGTTAACTGCCTCGCCTGGTATACAGGTCGTGGGTTTGATCCAGACCCTAACGCCTGTACATTTGGAGTTTTCATGCTCTCCCCGTGGTCGCGTGGATTGTTTTCCAGGCGCTATGGGGTTTCCCTCCACATTTAGAATCAACGTGCGTTTAGAGTATTTTACTGCTACGAATTTCCACATGATGAGCCACTTCGTTTAGTTATCTTTTGTGGCCAGGTCACTTCTGAAAAAGAGCTACATAGCTCAGCGAGCCTTACCTGGTCAAATAAATAGTTTAGTTTAATGAGAAGTACACTCAACCAGCGTCATAACCATTGCTGCAGTCTACGTTATAGACTGCCAGTACAATCACTCAGATTAAGAACCAGGCTACAGTCTGCATTAGTGTTTTTTGTTTTTTTTATTATTTTTATTCACTTTATTTGTATTCTTTTTATATCTACATGTCTTTACCGAAAGAACCAAATAATATGAATTCCTGCAGTCACGAAAGTTTTAAGTCCAAATTTAAGGGCTTTAAGTGTTGCTATTGTCTGTTTGAGAGGCAAACCAGGTCTGAATGTGTGATTGTTTTTTTGAATTCCTCTTGCAGGAGGCTGCGGGCGACTACACCTGGTGAGTCAGCATTGTTATCATCAGTAGCATCATCAACTGACTGGACACTCTTGCATGTTCAGACATATATTAATGTAGTATCTGGTATACACTAGAATATACCTACCAAGTCCAGCATAGTTATCATCTCTGGCATCATAAGCTACTTACACACTTGTAAACATACAAAGAAGTACACTGATACAGTATCTAGTATACAATAGACTTTACTATGTGAGTCAGCATAGTTATCATCTCTGGCATCATAAGCTACTTACACACTTGTAAACATACAAAGAAGTACACTGATACAGTATCTAGTATACAATAGACTTTACTATGTGAGTCAGCATTGTTATCATCGATGTCATCATAAGCTACCTACGCACTAGTAAACATACAAAGATACACCGATATCGTATCTAGTATGCAATAGGCTATACCGTGTGAGTCAGAATTGTTATCTTCTATGGCATCATCAGCCGACTGAACACTGATATAGTCCAGGAGGACGTCTGCCAAGGAGATGGGGTGATAAAAATACGTCACGTGCAGATGCTTGGGGAGCCCATCATCCAGCAGTAGATTCATGGCTATGGCTGATGCTGATACTGATGTAGTATCTAGTGTACAATCGAGTGGTCCATTCACAGAGCTATGACCCAACGACTCGAGTTGGATTTCCAGCCATGGCTAACATCAGTGGCGAGTGATGTCTGAAACAGTCCTGGGCTTTCCCACTTCGTCGTGCTAGTCATTGTGGGTTTGGTGCCGTAAAACAAACTCCCACGACTGAAACTACACGGGTAGGCATTCACCCAGCAGAGGACGTAACAATATTTGTAAATAAAAATATAAGTGATTATTATTTTACAATACAAGATCTTTTATTTGATCTTCTGATTAAAAACACATCTTAGCACGCGTTATGAAATACATTTTCCAAAGTAACAAATTGATGTAAATCTCTCCATGCATGCACATATTTTGTACATTTTCTACACATATATACAGCGCACTATCTCTCAATATATACGGACCGTGGGAATGTTTATTCATTTTTTTATATCAATAATTTAGAACCCCCCCCCACAGGGAAATATTCCATCCTTGTGCCGCCTTGACGGCCCCTGGCACTTGATTGATGTGGATGTACCAGCGAAGGGAACAGTTGTTAGATGAGTTATTGCCACCGGCGCCAGAGTTGAAGCCGTGAAACTCGCTGTACTCGCTTTACTTGCTCTGCTTGCTCGGCAGGAATTTAATGGATGACCACAGAGGTGCCGGATTCAATGCAGTTTGAGGGTACCGGCCTATGTGACCATTCAGCTGCACATGTTAATGATACTTTTCTTGCGTACGTCGTCATTCTTGTATGTATGTTGAACTTCTTTTGCACCATACATAGCCAGCCGTGCTCGTCAGAGGTGTGGAGGAAGTGCAACAAACTAAACACGAATCGGTTCTAAAGAAATACGATTTCAAACTCGGTTTAAAAGTGCATCTTCTTCGGTGGCTTCCTTATTCTTATTGTCTTCATCAGCCATGGTCACTCCACTGCTGGATGAAGGCTTCCTCCTTCTACTACCACCTCATGATCTAGCAATTTAATAATCCATCTAGCACTTGCCCACGAACTAATTTAATCCTTCCATCTCCCCAGTGGGCGTCTTCTTGCTCATTAATTAAGCTTTATTGGGTAACAGCAGAGAATGGAAGTGTTCAATCTAAAGCATTGAATGTGATTCATTAGCCACTGCAATTAGGACTCCTAGATTATTGACATTTCTAATTCTTCTAAAATTAATTCTGTGAAGAACGGTGACTTGTTAGTTTTATCTATACGTTAAAACAAAGCTAAGTTACCAGACAAATGTGCTCATTAAACTATAATTATTAAACATAAACATGGTGATAAATGCATGTAAAGGATATGAAATAAAATGTATTTAAATATTTTAAGAGACCATTTTAGTTGGATTTTTTTTACAATGCTGCAAGCAATGGCATTTTCAATCATAAAAAAATAATGTCAAATGTTGGAATACATTTTCAATTCATGTGGGGCATCGACATAAAAAACAGTGATTTATGTGCTTTTTGTCATGAAAAGCATGTTAGATGGTTTAAAGTTACATCAAGTGACCGTGAAATCAGCTCTCTCCATCCTGTGCACAGGCAGTTTGTCTACAGCTGTCGGAAGTGTAGTAGACTGGAATGATGAATTATTTCAAATTAGTTTAATCCAAGTGTGTGATTGCAGTTGAAGTTTTAATCTCTGCTTGTGCCTGAAATAAATGACATGGCCTCCACTTAGCAGATTTGTGGGTTTTTTCCCACCCATGTGCATACACGTTAGGGTATTAAGTTGTGAAATTGAAGAGCTTGGTAAAAATTTGCTCCAATTGGTCACTCTATCCCTGCGTGCTGCGTGTGTTGGTAGTGATGATGCGGTGAGGTCGGAATTGAAGACCCTTCCTCCTCTTCCCACACTGGTACTGAAGGAACACCCCTCGATCGGCTACTGGTGAGTGCTGTCATCCCTTCACTTCCTTTCCAAATCTTTTTACTCCCTCATGCGGAAACCAAAGTCAAAGTGATTTCCTGCCAAATCAAATGAGCATCGAGGTGGTGCTCATCTCCTGTTCACAACCCTGAGTCAGTGATAGGAAATCCCACATTCCTTTGGGAGTGATGCATTTCTCCATGAGACGAGAACTGTTGAATTCCTCACAAAGTGGTGCTCACTTTATCGAACACGGAAGGATGATGGGCCGAGTCATCCTCCAACCAGAATTTGAACTGGTGACCTTCCAATTGGGAGCACCTCACTCTGCTACTGAGCCGCAGGGAAATCACCTTTGGGTAAATGAAGAAATATATACTATTTGTGTTTATATATATAAACCCATATGCATGTATGTATGAAATAGTAATATGTATGCTAAACATTGCCTTCGGTTTTATGGAATCTCTCTTGCTCAGAATACATTTTAGACACTCGCTGAGATTTATGGTCGCCATAGAAGTCGAATGAGAGTCTCTCCAAATGCTCCGTCAAATTTACAGCACCTCTTTCGAGCAATGTGATCATTCTCAAATAAGTCTCCACATTTGCAGACCACATGCAACAGAGCGCTTTATATAATTTGGTATGGAATAAAACGGTGTAAGTGGGAACTGCCGTGGTGCAATGGTTAGGACACTGGACTAGCAATCCATAGGTCACCAGTTCAGGTCTGCCTCCCGGTTTGGCAGTTATAACAATGGTGTAATGTTTCTCAAATCCCCATGCCTCTACCCACCCAGCAGTTCACATGGGTTCACCACAGTTCGCCTGTCGGCAGGTCACGTGTGATGACGTCAAGGGTGGGTACTTCCACTTCTTCCAACACGTCTGATCAACATGGAAGAGTAGACCAAATGCACCCTCGACTTCTCTGTCGTGGAAGCCCTTCCGAACAAGCAATTTCAGAGCTGCAACTTTATGTTGTATATCAAAAAACTAAAATTATTATCTCCACGATGAGTTAACGTGGACGTCATAACGAATGCGAGAGACATTTTTAAGATCCACAGCATAACAGATTATGCACGTGAGACGGGGGTATTGGTTGTTTGAGACTGTTCAAATATTTTTGCATGGTAGTAGCAGAAGATTGTTACACTGTAAAGAGCTGAATCTCCAGATTTAAATTTTCAAATGTTATTGATCAGCCTCCCTTCACTGACAGAAGAGTGGGTGGGCTGTTAACACTGCTGGATAAAGGGTGCTTGTTGTGGATATTGAGCAAACCTTTACTGACCCGCCCCCAAGTGTACATATTGACAGTCGATGTATAGGATTGCCAAAGTGAGAAATGTGTCAGGAATGTGTTGCTTTACCTCGGGTTAAAGAGCCTAAGTGTGTACAAACAGCGCCAAAAATCAAGGCATTGACTTTTTTTTGCAAACAATGTGTGTTTTGTGTTATTGAATGTCAGGCAAAGTGAGGCTGTTTTTTTATAGTTGGCTTTAGCCTTCCGTTATCTTGATACCGAGTGTTACAAGAAGTGGTATTAAATGTATTACTTTCTCTGCGTTACCTATAGAAAATATGAGTTCTATACATCAGTCTATTCTCATAAATATAACCAATTTACATATAAAGACATCATAGGAAGCTCGTGGGATGCTGAATGTATTTTTCATAGTATGTTATTGCATTGTTCTCTGGGGAAAATAGAGTTTAAATGGAAACAATACATGTAGTTTAAAGAGGAATAGACAAGAAGAATGAATATTAATGTTACGTGAAAAATAAGTTGGAGAATATAATTGTTAAAATTGCTCACCTGCGCTTTATTCCTGAGGCGAACATTTAAGCGTTGATTACAGTGGTGGGGTTAGCCCATTGAAGGGCTTTAAGCAGAAAATTGCCAAGCTAGTGTAATGACAGAAGAGGAGATATACACAAGACGTAGAAAGATGAGCGAAAATCAATGCAGAGCAGAGAGATAAAAGATATTCTAAAGTCAATTGTCTTGTTATGTTCATGATGGATTTGAATTTGTGATGATTTTTGACGCATTCACGTTTTTTCATGATTTCATAAACCCCACGACCTGAGTTAACTCCCCACTATGGCTAACATCAGTGGCGCGTGATATGTGTTACCAGTCTTATGCGTCCGCCTTCACCAACCCTAGTGTGTTGAAATGTTGCATCTTCTTGGGGCGCTACACTTTTGCTTGGCTGGTTTGCTTGGCCCGTGCGCCACCGCCGATTGAAGACAGTTATATTGAGCCCTATTGCAGGTTATATAATATATGCATTAATGGGTTTTCTTTTTTCTTTTTATATTTCACAGCGAGGAGCGGATTATCGAGCACTACAAGAAGCTCAAGGGACAAACACGAGGGCAGGCTATTGTCAAGTAAGGACTTTACTGGAATCTGTGATGCCCCCCGTGATCTTGGCCCTGCAAGACTGTAAACCATAATATTTCAAGAGCACTGAAAAATCGCTCGCAATAACATTAGCACGAGTCAATTTTATGTCATTACATCTTCTGGGGACCCAGGTGGTGAGCGGACATCGCTGGATCGCCTGTCTACTGGGGCTATTATTGTCCTTTTAAAGTGATTGTCCCACAGCCCAGTCAATACATGCGTTCTGGTAATGCCATTGCCGTAACGTTGTATTCTCTCTTGCAGTTATATGAGTGTGGTGGAGACTCTACCTAGCTATGGTGTTCACTATTACCCAGTGAAGGTAATGTTTTGTGCATCTTAGCAGCATTTAACACAGACATACATTCTACAAATCTCACCCATATGCAGCATAGTCACAAAACTGACAAGCACCGAACTGTGACGTTAATGGCAAAGTAATATTGCAATGGGCAAACACTGGTAACAATTAGTCCTCATAGAATATCACCACATTCATTATCAATCACGCTGCCTTATAACGTTGGAGGGGGAAACAATGAAGAGTGTGTTATTGGTGGGGTTATCCGTGAATGTACATATATGCAGGAAAATACAATGCTTAAAATTGCAGATTGTGACATGAGTGTTCAGTGAGCCTACAGCTCCCATGGAAAATTAGTCGGGACACGGGTGACAAGAGTTCTGTAATAGGCTGACATTTCAGGAAAAGGCCTTCTTTAGAGCAGTGATACACAATGCAGGGAGATGGACTGACTTTATAATTGGAGGATCAGACCCTTACACTCTGGGGTGCTGAGAAAACAGTGTTTTGTTTTTTTAAAGAATGTTAATAAATAAAAAGTTTTAATTTCCAAATAAGTTTTCTCTAAAACATTGAGCATCATATGTAACCGTTGAAAGTAAACAAAAATATACGTGTAAATAGATACAAAATTTAACGTAAGAGAATCAATTTTGAATGTAGCACTGCACCATAGGAAGAACAAGTTACCATTGCCATGTCCATTGTATTTTTGAAAGAGCTGTTTGTGGGGTGAAGTCATGCCTAGCTGCAGATCACATCTGTTTGAATCGGGTTGAATCCAAAATCAGGCTGAGCTCGTAATCATATTTACTTCATCTCATAATAATATTCTCTCTTGAACGTATGTCGAACGTCTTTCGCGAAACAACCCCCATGACTGACATGGCTCGGCAAAGCCCTCATCCATCCAGCAGTGGCTTGACATACATCATAAACACCATTTAACTCGGCACGGGCCCAAGGGGCCAACATGTCAAGTAGCCAGGATATTACGTAATTACATTACATATTATACATACATTAGCTCTGCATTCTCATTCTGTTTCATCCTATATTTCTTTATTCATCATGGCATAGGTCCCAGCTCCCTCGGGAGCCCTCAGCAGCACAAGCTGGCCATTGTGATGAGACCAGGGCCAGAGAAACACTCGAGTGCATTCTGTCCACGAGGACCCAATTATTTGGTAGAAAGCTATGGCTGCTGTGACTTTGTCTCGAAACTATTTAGAAGACAATGGTTGAGAGCATAACCCATTAAAATGAGGATGATGTCAATTTTTACTTACTCTCATCACCATCCTGAGCCATGGTCAATCCACTGTTGGATGAAGGCTCCCCCAAACTCCACCACACCACACGATCCTGCGATGCAAGAATCCATCTGGCATCTTCACACAAGCTGATTTAGTCGCTTCATCCTCCCCAGTAAACGTTCTCTTGGGTGCGTCTTGTTCCTTACCCAATAACATTTAATCAGCCTCGGTAAAATGGTAGAAATGGTCTTTCACCAGGCTTAGATAGATACAGCATTATTGTAATGTAGGAAAGTTCAATTATCCTTTCCATCATGAAAACTCCTTTCAGTTTAATTTGAGCACATTATTCGAATTTAGTATGTGTTGCTAAACTGCTCTCTTATTTTTGTTGGCATGAAGCACAATCTAAACTTTTATCGTGTTGAAGTGAAAACGTTTACTTTTGTTTATCTTTGGTAGTTTTTTTTAAACATTTTACAAGAGCCTGAACATTACACAAGACGAAGACAAAGCCTTGTATTTGACACAAAAATAAGTGGGGCGGATTAGTGGTGAAGACAGTCTCTCTCAGACTTTCCAACAAATAATGCCGGCCCACTGCTCCTGTCCCTAAGCAGGTGGCCTGACCACATTAGAAGTTACCGAAACTGTTGAATACCAAGTTAATGGATGGCTGTTACTAAAGTGTGTTGGCCATGGCTGTGGGGAAGCAACAGCTGTGAGTAATGGCACCATTAGACACCAGTCAGACATGGTGCAAAAGGAGAGGACCTGCCAGACACTCCCATTCCTTTTCTCTTTTGGCAGTTTATCCTCTTATGGGCAGACTGGTAGGGCCTGCTCAAAATTAGCTCGAGGTCATAACGTTTTTTTTGTGCTGCCTGGTCAGTTAGTTTGACCTACACAACCCACGTGGCAGACACGACCCGTGTCCCAAAACCATTCTCGCTCACCATGTGCCTCCCCGCCACTTGTCTCCGCTGGCTCGCTATCTGCACCATCTCCTCTCGCTCTGTTATCCTCACGTCCCTTTCGGCGACCCGTGCATCTCTCTCTCAAACTTGCCTGCTCGCCGCGACACAGCCTATCCCCCAACCAATTCCAACACAGTTTCTCTTTCGCACTTAACTATGTCCACTTGTAACAGGTTATGTATTGCACTATATATTGACATATAATAGGCAAGGATTTCACATTTAGTTAAATCCTCCTCTTCGGATATTGGACAGTTTTTAATGATATATAACCAGTTATTTTGATTTATTAATATTTACCTTCAGAATAATTTGTATTATCCCCATTCACTTATTTGTTCCATATATGCTGTTAGACCACTGCTGATTGCCTTCAGATACGCAGTGGTGGTCTTGTGTCTACTGGCAGATGGCCATTATAGGGAATAGATAACGTGGAAGCGAGTGATATTTTGAGTGTAATGGTTATATTAATATACTATACTCTCTTTAAAACTAGTCTTAGTACTTTGCATTCCTCCCATTCACTGAATGGCCAGATGCCACAACACATATTTTTGCAAGAAAGGTAACAATCTGCAAGATTTATAACGACGTTGCAAAGTCAATAAAAACACCCAGGGGATAATTTTTTTCTCGGACCAGTTTGCGCATAAGTTGAGTGAGAGCGAGTGATCTGCCCAAGACTGCAGCCACAGTTATGTCTGGCCAAACGCACCACCACGCCTCCCACCTACTTCCCCTGATTTACTGGCACAGTGTGGGGGACACATGGTGTCCACCCTGTTTGTTGTCTTTGTTGTGGGAACCCCAGCAGGTGTGGGTGTTTTTACAGCTGTGGTTTGATCTGAGAAAAATGCGCGGCACGGAAATTTACAATCAATGTATGCCTTTTGCCGCCACATAATAAAAAGTGTCATGGGATTTTTTTTTGTAAAGAAGAGCGCACGTTATGAGATGCCGTATCCTGTGTCTGTGTGTAAAATTCTATCTCAGTTTTTTAATTTATTATCTGTCACCAGACGTTAAATTTTCACGTCATAATCCTTACGGCGGCAGAGTGGTTAACGTAATGCATTATGAACTGATTGTCAGACGCGGCTGACTTCAGTTGCCAGATATATCTAAACCAGTCTCAGGCCACCGATTTCACAAAACCTCCAGAACTGACACTGCATGGGTCAAGGCATTAATCCAGAATTAGATTGACAAAGCACTGCAAATAAATCCACACTATTCACTGATTAGATGGAGAAAATCAATAAATTATGCCATCTTCCTTCATGACAGTTTGTACAAGGGTGTAGTTAATATTAATTATTGTACTATTAGTGTAGTAAATATTAGTTATTGATTTATTCTGTACATTGTGTAGAAGCAGCCTGCATGCAACCTGCAGCTGATTTCTCATTTTTGCCTATTTAACCCCACCAGATGATTATTTCGACTCCAATATCTTTCAAAGCAATGGTCGGTAAAATATGTATCATTAAGCGAGCTGTGTGTGTTAACATTGTTATAATTGTCTTGTCTGGCAGGATAAAAAAGGGCTGCCCTGGTGGCTTGGACTGAGCAACAAGGGCATTTCGCAATACGACTTCCAGGACAAGCTAAAGCCCAGGCAGGTGTGTCCTTTTATGATTTCCCAAAGACACAGTGAAAGCACATTTTGTTTCTATTTAAAAGTCCAAAGAAAACTGACGAAGAGGGATACGGAGATGAGAGAAATGCTTCAAGAGATTTAGATGCGTTCTAAAAATGTATACACGTGTCTACGCACGGGGATGCCGCAGTGGTTAGCACGCCGGGCGTGGCAGACGAGTTTCTGAAAATCCGCAGCCCCTGTCCACTCAGGAGTTAGCCAACCAGGTGTGGGGGGTAAAGTGTGGGTACTCCAACCTCTTTCAAGATGTCTGGCTAGTGTGGAAGAGGAAGCCAAAGTATTCTCTAGAGCAGCGGTCCCCAAACCTTTTTGGCACCAGGGACCGGTTTCGTGGAAGACAATTTTTTCACGAACCGGCAGGGGAGGGGTTCGTCATTGGGTCTTTCCCCCTTTTCAAAGAAGCTCTCCAGCGACGTTTGGTGTTTTACTCATTTTGGCTACTAGGGGTTAGCTTGTGGGCTTACCAACACTGTGACTGAGACAAGTGCGCAGTGCGGGAAAAAGGCGCGGACGGAAGTGGTAAATAATAAAATAATGGGCGGGCCACGTGCTGACTCACCGCTCTCACCTCCTGCTGTGCGGCCCGGTTCCTAACAGGCCACAGACCGGTACCGGTCCACGGCCCGGGGGTTGGGGATCCCTGCTCTAGAGGACCCTTGTAGAGCTTCCTCTGTTGGAGACCTTTCCACCAGCAGTGGCATGAGCAAGCACTTGCAGGGCTGCACCTTTATTTTATACACACATTAAATTTAATTATTTGTTGCTACAGACAGCCATGACTCGTACGTTGTAGTACACCTACTGTACATATTATGCCTTACATACTATATGAAAGCAGTCAGGAATGCTTCTGAATACCATTGCCCATTTATGTGCTGGTTTTAATAATCAAACGAATCTGAGCTCCATTATTCTGATTGTGCTTGTGAGTTTGACTTTTCAACAGAAGGAACTGCCATTATTTATACGTTCAATTATTTGCCAAGACATTAAATAATGAAATATGATTCGTAAAAAGGCATTGCTTTTGAGCATCATGACGTTGCTGAAAATGTACAATATCCCGATTTGGCATCTGCCATGTGCGACTCACAGCACCATATCTTAGACGTCTCTCTTTGTCAGTTCATCAGCAAGTCAGCTGGAATTACAGGTCATGGGGATTTGACCTTGAGCTGTAATTACTGGATTCCTAGGGCTAGGATTGTTTTAATGGTCTCTGCAGCAAAGCCATTATGACAAAAGTATTACATCAATAAATTGCTACAGTGGAATGTACCTTAGATAGGTTTTAATGAAATCCGATGCCAAATAACAAAGGATTACGTGCACTTTTCTCCAATTTGCTGCTGACAATTATGCTCCAGTTTTTCAAGTCTATAGCTGTATTTATTGCTCCTGTGCTTTATAATAAATAAACTTCATATTCCCATTATACTGCATTTTGTAGGACATTAAACCTATGATGTTTCCATTGCAGTTCATAATATAGTATATTACAGTGTATTATTGAAAACGTCTCGCTATAGTTACACATCAATGTTTTATAAAAAGTGTCATGGTGGAGAACAAAACTTCACACAAAAAAGAGGGGCACCGTGATGGCGAGATGTTACCACCTCGCCTGGTATGCAGGAGGTCGTGAGTTTGATCCCAATCCTGACGCCTGCATTTTATTTGCATGTTCTAACCGTGGTCGTGTGGATTTTTCTCCGGGTCCTAGGGTTTTTTCCTCCACGTTTATAAACATGCGTGTAGAGTATGTGGCTGCTATAAACTTCCAAATGATAAGCTACTTCGTTGAGCTATCATTTATGGCCAGGTTGTTTCTGAAAAAGAGATATATATATTGCTCATTGGGCCTTATCTTGTAAAATTGAAAGTTTAGTTTAATCTTAGTTTAGAGTAAAATAGGTCTTCAGGTCGATATGCTGCTGCCTGTGTACAGTCAGATGTTGATGATGTTTATTGCAAATTATTTTGAAAGGCGTAAGCTTATAAAACAAAACTGCACCTCCGCAATGGAACCGGGAGTCATGCATCTGAATTCACCAATGCCACATATTCCCATGAGAATGTCTCATGGGGTGAATTCCATTTGTGTGATGTATACATTTTTTAGTTGTGGAAGATGGTCTCGTCAACATTTCAGCGAACTCGACATATTTTACTCTGTGTTAACGCAGTCTTTCGTTTCTTCAAATACGCGTCGAGGATCTTACTGTGTGTTATGTTTCAGATTTTTTTTTTTTACCAGACGGTGGCCTCTCGCACCTGAAAAGACAGCTGCCGCATTCAGTACAATGCGCTGGTCTGGTCCCCCTCTCATTATCTCTGCTCAGTCAGTCGTTAAAGCACATGCCTTCAATTCTCATTGAGGTCATTCATCTTGACACCGCATTTATCTTTGGCACAGAATTATAATCGCGTGGTATGCCATGCATAAATCAATGCTGCTATTATACCAACACATTTTTGATGTTAGCTCCAGTCAACAAATATGGGACGCATTTTAGCAAAAGGTACGTTGTGGATTTTCAATTGGTCGCACTGATCAAGGATGTAGTGCCAATACAAGTGAAGGAAATATTTATTTAAATACAAAAAACTTACATATAAATGTATGTTTTAGGCAATGGTAACAGAATATAGTATTACTCCTGCGATGCTGCTTGATGTGGTGCTCCAGCAGTCTAGGGGAGAAGTGAAAATGTGTTTTTTTTGTATTGCTTGTAACTTCTGTGGTGAGTACCCAAATCGCACAACAGTAGATTTGACTTTATGGAAATTCCTATTTTAAAGTCGTCTTTTTGGACTTTTTAAGTATTCCCTCTACCTTACGTTACCAACACCGACTATTGTGTACAAACCAACCGGCGATGTTTTACATTGGCTTATTTTGTTGCTCGCAATTGATTCCACAGAAAACCATAGACATATGCGTGTGTATTACTTGCGTATAAATATAAAAGCTAACACTCGGCGGAAAATTGCGCTGCTTATTATTATTTCATCCAGAGAAAGACGTGATCCTAATTCTAACGCTATGAAACGGAAATTATGTGACTAAAGAATGATGTATAAGCATTCGGTATTAAAAGGTCACAGTGATGTATATTTGAAGGACACACCTCAGACTGCTATGGAGGACGTTCCTTTGAGGGAATGACAACAATTTATACTGCACGATCAGCTGTTTCCTACATTGGGTGGAGATGAGAAATGCTCCGTGTTCTTGGGAGATCTGAGAGTACAGACGAGTATTACAGCGGCTGAATGTTAGAAATGCTCACAAGGTGGAGTAAGTTCAGTGCACGAGGCAGATGTAATTACAAATTGGATGCGCAAACCGTCAAAGGTGACTGGCACTCCTTATAGTACATTGACATTCCGGGTGTGTAATTATTACACTAATGGGCAGCATTAGAGAGGCTCTTTTTTTCTATAGTGAAGGTCACCACATAGCAGGATTCCATTTGTTCTGTATGGATAAGTGGTCTTTCCCTTCGCTTTAAAAATTGTTTGGAAAATCGTTCGTGTAGATAATTTTTTTTGTTACGTTCCTTCCACAATACAGTGAGGGAAAAAAGTAATTGATCCCCTGCTGATTTTGTACGTTTGCCCACTGACAAAGAAATGATCAGTCTATAATTTTAATGGTAGGTTTATTTGAACAGTGAGAGACAGAATAACAACAAGAAAATCCAGAAAAACGCATGTCAAAAATGTTATAAATTGATTTGCATTTTAATGAGGGAAATAAGTATTTGACCCCTCTGCAAAACATGACTTAGTACTTGGTGACAAAACCCTTGTTGGCAATCACAGAGGTCAGACGTTTCTTGTAGTTGGCCACCAGGTTTGCACACATCTCAGGAGAGATTTTGTCCCACTCCTCTTTGCAGATCTTCTCCAAGTCATTAAGGTTTCGAGGCTGACGTTTGGCAACTCGAACCTTCAGCTCCCTCCACATTTTCTATGGGATTGAGGTCTGGAGACTGGCTAGGCCACTCCAGGACCTTAATGTACTTCTTCTTGAGCCACTCCTTTGTTGCCTTGGCCGTGTGTTTTGGGTCATTGTCATGCTGGAATACCCATCCACGACCCATTTTCAATGCCCTGGCTGAGGGAAGGAAGTTCTCAACCAAGATTTTACGGTACATGGCCCTGTCCATCGTCCTTTTGATGTGGTGAAGTTGTCCTGTCCCCTTCGCAGAAAAACACCCCCAAAGCATAATGTTTCCACCTCCATGTTTGACGGTGGGGATGGTGTTCTTGGGGTCATAGGCAGCATTCCTCCTCCTCCAAACACGGCGAGTTGAGTTGATGCCAAAGAGCTCCATTTTGGTCTCATCTGACCACAACACTTTCACCCAGTTGTCCTCTGAATCATTCAAATGTTCATTGGCAAACTTCAGACGGGCATGTATATGTGCTTTCTTATGATCATTGCAACTCCACGAGGTGAGATTTTGCATGGAGCCCCAGGCCGAGGGAGATTGACAGTTCTTTTGTGTTTCTTCCATTTGCGAATAATCGTACCAACTGTCGTCACCTTCTCACCAAGCTGCTTGGCAATAGTATTGTAGCCCATTCCAGCCTTGTGTAGGTCTGCAATCTTGTCCCTGACATCTTTGAAGAGCTCTTTGGTCTTGGCCATGGTGGGCAGTTTGGAATCTGATTGATTGATTGCTTCTGTGGACAGGTGTCTTTTATACAGGTAACAAGCTGAGATTAGGAGCACTCCATTTAAGAGTGTGCTCCTAATCTCAGCTAGTTACCTGTATAAAAGACACCTGGGAGCCAGACATTTTTCTAATTGAGAGGGGGTCAAATACTTATTTCCCTCATTTAAATGCAAATCAATTTATAACATTTTTGACATGCGTTTTTCTGGATTTTTTTTGTTGTTATTCTGTCTCTCACCATTCAAATAAACCTACCATTACAATTATAGACTGATCATTTCTTTGTCAGTGGGCAAACGTACAAAGTCAGCAGGGGATCAAATACTTTTTTCCCTCACTGTATATGTCCCCCTCTTTTTTACAGGAGTAAAATAATGATCACATGCTTCATATTTTGTAAAATCAATGCATTTAGGTTGGAGTCAATAAGTAGTGATTTGAATGTACACTCCACCTGACACATTACATGTAAATACAGACGATTTTAAATCTGTAAAAGAGACTGTAAATGATAGCACATCAATTACATGACACCAGTAGGAACAAACAAAACATGTTTTAAAAACCTGTAGATTAATCAGCTTTACAAATAACAACGGGGAAAATATCATTTAAAGCCATGCATATGTTATGAAAGCTGTTATATTATAACAATTTATCATGGTTATCAAAACCACTACACTCCCAGTACATACCCTTGATAGAGATTTTGCGCTGTGCTCATTTGTATGCCACACTTATTTGACCCATTTCATCCACACTAACAACAGCAGATGTGAGCGCATTGGTGAATAGCCGGGTGACACAAAAAGGGCATGCCTCTGTGTGTGTGTGTGAAAAGTGGAGTGACTCAGCGCAGGCGATTGGCGCTGCAGTGTGACATCACCAACTGCGGTGTCCAACTGGGAGGCAGTCTGCAAAGTTTTCTTAAACACCGTGCGCGTGCACGCGCTCGTCTCGCGCGTGTGCGCCTGTGTGGAACGCGTGTGCACCCACGATTATGTGTAACGCGTGTGCAACGGTTGGCGAGCTGCGATACGAAGCTCGGTGACCCGAGTTCGATTTTTTTCGCTCACGGCCAACATCAGCCACGGTTGTCTGAATCGGTCGTGGGCCTCCCCTAGGTCGGCTCAGACTCAAATGAGTAAATGCTGCGATGTGTCAACGTCGCTACTGGGGAGACAAATGCGGCCGGGAGTAATGCTGGCCACCCACCCCCTTGTGTGCCGTATCGGCCTTCATAGGTGCTCGGGACCAGCACTTGCCCCAACAGTCGGTGAAGGCTATAGGGTGGGGGTGGGGTTTCTTTGTCTTTGCACTCGCAATGGACAGTGGGTGCTGGCAGATGGTATGAAGATTTTTCTTTTGAGTGCAGCATTTTTTGTCGTGAGTGGGTGTGCTTGAGAACACAAATTCCTCCTTCCACCCCCCACTGCCTCCAACCCTGTCAGTGGAGTGGTTGTGTCAGTGGAGTGGCTGTCTCATTTATGACAGAGCCGGCTCAGGTTTGAACGAGCAGAATGAGCGATTCATTGGAGCAGAACTGTTGTCTGAGAATGAACAGGGGTGTCGCTCGCAGTGTCTCGAGTCTGTCAGACGGTTTGTAAACAGAGTGCCAGGTGTGGGTAGCGATGGTCACCAACGTGTGCGCATTACTCGGTGAGGATGACTCCCTCATCAAGCCGCGGCTGTACAGAAGCCTCACTTGTTGAGTGTGTCGTACAGTTGCCGTACGTGTTTTTAAGAAGCATTTCTTTCAATTTGCAAGTATTTTTTTTATATCAGTTTTGTTTTCAGGTGGTATGCAAGCAAAGTCGATGGAAGTATACATTGGACGTCAAGCTGAATTTGATGTTAACTACCCCTGGATTGTTTTTGTTGTTGCAGATTTATCAATGGAGACAGCTGGAGAATCTATATTTTCGTGAAAAGAAGTTTTCTATAGAAGTCCATGACCCTCGAAGGTAAATTACATTTATATTCATTGATGAAATATGTATATGAGATGAATAAGTCAATTAGAAGAACGGCCAAATTCGTGTATATATGTTTTAATAATTTAACAAATTTATGCCGTTAATGTAGAGTATGAGCAAAAATGTCCCTAGCTACGTCCACCCAGCAGTGATCAATGGGTGCGCCACTGTCCATTGGCATGGTGTGTGTGTGTGGTGGGGTAAAGTGTGGGTACTCCCACCTCGTCCAAGACATCTGGCGAGTGTGGAAGAGTAGACCAATTGCCCTCTCTAGTGGCTGTCTAGAGCTATCTATAGTGGAGGCCTTTCCACCAGCATTGGTGTGAGCAAGCAATTGCAGGGCTGCACCTTTAACTTTTTTTAACGAGCAAATAATATTGCTCAAATTTGGCATGAAAAGACACTTTCCAAAATAATGTTTGTGTGCGTTATGCTTTTCTCAAGGTCGTTTTCATTGCTTACTCTATGCATGTTGCTGTGAATATATGTAATATACTTTATTTTAAGTAAAAAAAAGTGGATAATGTTTACTTGGAATGCCTTTTCTTAAAGAACATGGAAAAAGTTCAATTCTCTGTGTTTACAATGTCGGGTTCCGAATGAGATGCAGCGTCTGGAGATGCTGTCGTATTTAGCCCAAATTCTGTTGTGATTGTATTTCACATCCACCGTTCATGACACTTCAGTTTCAGACATATTTTGGTAATTTGTCAAGAGAACGATGGAGTTGCTTTAGGAGGCTTCCTCTAACGCTGCACGTAGGTCACTGTCCTGCTTCAGTCGCCGAGCGTGGCTACAAAACTTTTGAACACCCGAGTCACACATTCATTTACCCCCCAGTGTCCTGTTTGACAACGCTCACGTTTGTAAGCTATAGGGTTTCAATCCGTGTAGTTTGGCACAGGCTTGACTAACAGAGGCAATTGACGATGGTAAGTTTGTGATTGGCAGACGTTTATTCTACTATATTATAATGTATGTAGCTTTAATAGGTGGTTGAGTCCGTGAACCCTTTGGTTAGCACACAGCACTATGAACCCAACAACGTGAGTTTGATTCCTGGCCATGGCTAATGGCAAGAGTGAATTCAATTTGAATGAGTCTTGCCTACCCACGCCACAACTCCTCCTTTCACCAACCCACACTGACCAACATGGTAAAGTATGACCAAACGACCCCCGTGATTGACAAGGCATGGGGGAGGCCTTAATTTTATCAGTGGATTGACGTTGTGTTTTTGCCTATGTAGCTCTAATTGGTACACTTTACAAGAGCTGTGAAACGTAGGCTAAAACACTGCAAGAGCTTATCTTGCAGCCTGAGGTCTTCCACTGAGTTGCTTTGGCAACTCGGTTTTAAAGAGACGAATCCAAAAGTAAATAAAGAGCTTCGGAAATATTTTCGTGGCAACTATGGTGCCAGGGTACATCTGCGTGGAGTGGACCAGCCCAGCGCATGGGTCCGGTTATTTTATTTAAACCAGATGTATGTTTTTGTCTTCCTACACTTTCTAATGGCCTGTTGGATTAGACAGAGAATACAATGAACACTTAATGCTTAACGGGTTCTGCTTTTTGTCTCAAAAGTTGGGGGGGCAGAGTATTATTGCAGAAGGGCATGAGTGTAATGCTGTTCCCCGAATGTTAGTGCTGTAGGTTGCAAGAATGCTGCACTTATCTCCTATAAGCACCAATTATTGGTGGAACAGCTAAATGCTGGATGCAGTATTTGTGCGTGCGTGTGTGTATGTATGGACTTACTATACAGTGAGGGGAAAAAAGTATTTGATCCCCTGCTGATTTTGTACGTTTGCTCACTGACAAAGAAATGATCAGTCTATAATTTTAATGGTAGGTTTTTTTGAACAGTGAGAGACAGAATAACAAAAAAAATCCAGAAAAACGCATGTCAAAAATATTATAAATTGATTTGCATTTTAATGAGGGAAATAAGTTTTTGACCCCTCTGCAAAACATGACTTAGTACTTGGTGACAAAACCCTTGTTGGCAATCACAGAGGTCAGACGTTTCTTGTAGTTGGCTACCAGGTTTGCACACATCTCAGGAGGGATTTTGTCCCACTCCTCTTTGCAGATCTTCTCCAAGTAATTAAGGTTTCGAGGCTGACGTTTGGCAACTCGAACCTTCAGCTCCCTCCACAGATTTACTATGGGATTAAGGTCTGGAGACTGGCTAGGCCACCCCAGGACCTAATTGGCTTCTTCTTGAGCCACTCCTTTGTTGCCTTGGCCGTGTGTTTTGGGTCATTGTCAGCACACGGCGCTGCGAACCCGGCGACCCGAGTTCGGTTCCCGCTCACAGCCAACACCAGTGACGATTATCTGAACCCGTCATGGGCATGCCCTAGGTCGACTCGGCCTCAAATGAGTACCTGGTGCGGTGTGTAAACCGGCTGGGTGTGGTGCCGGCCACCCACCCACCCCCTCGTGTGCCGTGCCGGCTTTCACAAATGCTCGCTAACAGCACTCGCCCCCCCCAGCAGTCTGTTAAAGGCTCCCCGGGGGATCGTTGTACAAATCAGCCACCTCGTGCCTATAAACACCAAAATAACTCAAGCCCCCCCCCCCCCCCCATTACGCAATACATGTTCATTTCATAAGAATAGACCATTGTGTGCCAGCATTTGTCTAGATCTTATATCTGAAAAAAATGCAACACAGATAACTGTGTTTTTCACATACCTCCAGAGTTGGTTCTCACAATAGGATCTTGAATGGAAATTCGATGCGCGGTATGTCATGGGAAATATGAGATTTTTTTCAAGCGAACACCACAAACATTTTATTTAGATAAACAGTCTCTTACGTGACTTAATGGAAGATGATCAATCGTTGTTTTCATTGGCACCCTTCCCACGTTCAGTGGAAGCGAAAATAAGTGTACCAATCAGCCCTGCTGCGATGTGAATTCCCGATGCTCAACATTACAACAAAAAATGGTGATAGTAATAGGTTTTTACGCTTTTATCTGGCAACAAAACTGACCCCTTTATACAAGGGATCATGTTTGCATTAACCACAACACTTGCGGTCAAAATGCAAACAAAAAAGACAACTCTGATAATGTATGCACTGTCCTCGAAATGTAGATGCTTACCCCGAGCTCTCAATACTCTGATGGTGCGTTGTCTTTGAGTTGTGCGCCTTTTGGCGTCATCTGGTCCAACACCATGTGAGACTGGGCTCTAAGAAAAGCTGTCTCGGGTGTGGACCAATCAATTTCAAGGACAGTGCCAGTACATTATCAGAGTTGTTTTTTTTTTGCATTTTTACCGCAAGTGTTGTGGTTAATGCAAACATGATCCCTTCTATAAAGGGGTCAGTTTTGTTGCCAGAAAAAAGGGTAAAAACCTATTACTATATCTTGCTACTGGCAAAGGTCTCATAAAACAAAAAATGGGTTGGAAAGTCTCGGAGACAAAATGAGTCGTTCATTTGACACGAGACCCATTTTGTCCCATGACGTATACATCGAACACACGTGTTAGTTTACAAGAGAAAATTACGTAAAAAAAACTAGCCTTCTAAAAAAAATGCACGTGTACCGTATTTAAAAAAACATTGGTTACAGTATATTCTATTTGTATAGTATATTCTAGTTGGCAGTCCTGCATTCACAACTATCCAGGTATATCGGACTTTGGCTCACGTTTGCTTTATGGATTTGTTTTAAATGTTGTACATGTATAACCGTTTGCCAATCCACTGCTGCCCACCACATGGCCCTCCAGTCTATAATGGCCTGGTTTTTTTTTGGCATGGTTGTCCTCCGTTTAAGCAATGTCCAAGTTTAAAACCTGCTTAGCTTCCCAGATCTGATAAGAGCAGTTTCATCCCGGGTGATGTGATCATAAGCTGAAACATTGTACTTGACCATAATTACACGCGTTCAACACGAGTACAGATGTATTGACCACATACACTGTTGTTTCGAGCGCAGCATCATCCTTGTCAAAATCTCTATTGGTAACTTGGAACGTTTAGTTTCCACCACTGACTCAGGGCCACTAATGAGAGTATGTAAACACACTCGTGCTGACAGACTTTAGATTTGACTTTTTGATTAGAATAGGACTGACTGTAGCGCAAACTGATGCATTTCTAAAGAAATGCCAAATAAGTTCAACGACAAAACAAAAATACTTCAAGGGATTTTCAAGTATGGTTACGTCCCCAGAAGGGTAGAGTGGAGTTTGCAATGGTTAGCGCACTATGCGGGTGAACCGAGCCGTGGTTAACATCAATTGTGAGTGATATATGAACAGTTCCTGGGCCGGTTCATGTATCACCCCTGCACTGACCAGCATGGTGAAATATGATCAAACGAGCGATAGGGGAAAGGGGTACGATTATTCCGCGAGCGACAAGCCCGAGGCCAGGTGCCCACGGGATAAGTGGAGTGAAGGGCAATTAGGCGAGTGTACATTATCCTTATTATTGTTATTATTGTAATAGTGTACACATAGAATCTGAATGCTGCTGTGGTGTAATGGTTTGCGAAATGGACTTGTTATCCAGAGGACTCCTGGTCGGTCTCATCCAATTTTAATGTTTGATAGAGCGCAATCAACTCAAGGTGCTCGACATAGTTTGTAAACCGGTGGCAGAATAAAAGTATTTAGATGGCAGGGGCGTGCAAGGGTTCAGGAATGAGTGACTGCGATAGAGAGGGTACTTTGGAATCACGATAGGGTAGGGGAGGGACTCAAAGGGATGGAAGAGGAAAAGAGTATGAGCAACAGAGAAGTGGGAAGCAGTTAAAATAATGGTGCAAATTTCTCAAATCCCCTGTCCACCCAGCAACATAAATGCATGTTGAACTTCTTTTGCACCATATGTAGACAACCGTGCTACTTTCACCTTGTCTTACACGTCTGGCCAGCATGGAGGAGTAGGCCAAATACGCTCTGGAGGGGATCTCCAGAGTTAAATCTCGCCGTGGCTCTTCTGCCGGCAGTGCCATGAGCAAGCAATTGCAAGGCTGCACCTTTATATTACCTTAACTGGAGTAGTATATGTGAATTGTGACCCTTTTTATGATGCTCAACTCAAGGCAGGGCATGTCATTGTGCATTTCATGCTTTTAGACATCCCCTGCAGTCTGCAGGGATCTGAAGACTCGTAGCCATGCAACTGGGTATTTAAATCTGTCTGGGTGTCACTTTGCAAGGCAGGGTTCCATCCAATCACAAGCATAAGGCTGTCTCCTCCATACCAATAGCACTGCAATTATTTCCAGATGCTTTATTCCGAGCAGCTTGTAATGGGAAGGAATGTGGATACGTGCAGAGCCCAGCTGCCGGGCTTTAGCAACTGCATTAAAACAACAATCTTTAGCACATATGCTTGTGTTTAGATGTATCATTATTGTTTGCTGTGCAGATCATTGCTGATGCCCACTGGAGGGCCTGCTCGGAGTAAAGAAAGATCTGCTTAGGATGCAAGGGTGTGGGCACAGAGTCACTCAGAACTAGAGCCAAACTGCTTGCTGAGTTCCCCGTGTGTGTTATACGCGTATGTATGGAGCGGAGCCCAGCAAACTGAATTCGAGTCCTACTCATGCCTAATACCAGTGGCGAATATCTGACACTGGTGCTGGGCCTCCCGTTGGTCGACTTGGCCTTAAAATAAGTAGCTGATGCGGTGTGTAAACATCTGCACCAGGGAGACAAAGGTGTCCGGGCATGGTTCTAGCCACACCACCCCCTCGTGTAACGCAGTGGCCTTAATAGGTGCTCACTAACAGCACTTGCTGTCATGGCCTGAAAAGGTATCCCGGGGAACTGTAAATGACTATACTCACATGTCTATATGTATGCTCACATGCAATGACATGTAATGTGCACACTTTTTTTTTGTTCGGTAATATAATCAATCAATATGTTTTGCTACTAACATATCAGGCAATAGTTTTTACCTTGGAAGAGTGATGGCTACCTTGAAACAGTGGTACATTATTAAACACAGTAGTCCCTTTGCCTGTCGAACAAGCGCATGACATTGTTGTGGTGCAATTTAATGAAGCCAAAATATAATTGAGTCTTAAATTGGAAACCGACTCTCGTGGAAAGTCATCGAATCACTGGTGGGCGGTGAAATTGTGACATGAATCCTGTTCACCAACTACAGCTCCTTCTACCCTGGGAAAAGATTTGGGCTTAATATTTGAGCACCCAACTAAGGAGGGCAGTAATGAGGGTGCTTAATTTTAATACATTCAATTTGACCCAATGAGCCACATCTGGCTCTCGCATAGACCATTTGTGAGCTCTGCATTAAAAGACAAATGTGTTTCCATGCCTGAGTCCAGCCGAACTGCAGGTGCTGCGCAGCCAATTATTCATAGCATTCTCCCTCCGGCCTCGGGGAGTAGTTAAAGACGCACGCAAGAGGTCGTTTAATATCCTGACATGATTCCAGGCAAAGTGATTGAATTAAATTTCTTGAACACGGTAATACAACTCGCCGCACCATGCTACATTTCTCTCTCTCTCTCTCTTTTGGATCACGCGAACATCATTTATAATCGTGCAACACGCTGCACGTGACGGTGGGCAAAATGTAAAATACACCACAGTGCATGCTCGGATATATCCCGTTGTTTCATTTGCATGCAACCTGCTTCTGGGCAACTGCTTGTGTTCATGTGCCCATCTCTCCACACCACGCCACCCACTTCCCCGTAGGTTAACCGTGAGCAGACGCACTTTCGCACAGAGTGGCATCACAGTGCACACGTGGTACGCCAGCCCTGCACTCATCAAGTCCATCTGGGTGATGGCCATTGGCCAGCATCAGTTTTATCTGGACCGAAAGCAGAGCAAGGTACAGTTGCGTGCATTGCTTCACTCCCTTGAGGATTCTTTTGTCGGGGGTTAATCTCTCTTCAGAGTCTTGTGGTACGCGACTCCTTACCAAGTTGACGAGGTAAAGTAACAATGTCAGCTGTATGGGTAGGCAGTGCTGCGTATCACTTCGACTTGGTGGTGTTTATTTGTCCTGCCCGCTTTTTCTTTACCACGTTTGCAGAGCGCGGGCCCGAAGGCCCGGATGCCAAGACGGTTAGAGTAAAAATAGCACTCTTGAAAAGTTTAATAGATGAGAATTAATGGTTCTTGAGCTGAGCAAGGATATAAGGACTTTTTTAAAGAGACGATGGGAGGGAGTGCCAAAGGCGGGCAGCGCGAGGAGTGAAGCACAGAAAGAAGTGTTAATTTCCTGTTGTACGTTGGCTGACTACCTCGCCTGGTGTATAGGAGGTCATAGGTTCGATCCCGACCATGATGTCTGTATATTTGGAGTTTGCACATGATGATAAGCCACTTAATTAAGCTATCATTTGTGATGGACAGGTCACTTCTAAAAAAATAGCTGCGTAGCTCATTGGGCCTTACCTGGTAAAAAAAAACAAGTTTAGGATATAGTTTTTCTTTAGTTTGTCTCCTGGGGCCCCCTTCGCATGAGTGGAGGAACCAATGAGTGACTTTATCTCCAACGTCGATGTCAAGGCAAAGATCCCGGTGGCCAGGAGCCTCAGCGAGATCGCCATCGACCTCACTGAGCTGGGATCACTGAGCACGTCAGGCCTGGCCAGCATGGGCAGCGAGAGCAAGATTATCAGCGGCAGCGACGGCAGCCTCTTCTCGTCCGGTACGCAGCGTGCTGCTTACATTGCTTTGTGTTTACTTCAGTGGGGGCATTCATACCTATTCGTTGCCCACTTAGAGCAAATGTCCATATGCATGAGTGCACTTGTGTGTGTGGAATGGTGAATAGCGGCTTTTTCGCCTGTGCTGCGTTTGAACTCATCCGTCCCGTCGTGCGTGCACTTCCTCACTTGGCTGCCACTTCGTCATTGTGGCTTTGGCAAAGGATGAATAATATTCTGGCCAATGCCTAAGTGACAATTGTTAAGAAGGGGCATAACAGATGGTACCAATCAGATAAGGACGACCTTGGGAGACTGATCCACTTCGTCAAGGGTGGGATGTAGTTGCATTTTAAAATGAATTTGCAATAATCTCGCCTATTGTTTCCTGGAGCAAAGCATCAGGCGCCTTGCTGAGCTGTGTTCATATTGTGAAATTCTGTCCGCAGGATCACAAGAGTCTGAAATCAGTCAGGAGGCACGGAAGGACCTCATGACGGCACTCAAGTCACGACGAGATGCCCTGGAGGACACCCTGAAACTCCGGGTGGAGGAACTTCGACTTATCTGCCTGCGAGAGGCCGTGAGTGCAGCGCCAACAGCCCTTCTAGCCAGTGGTGACCAGGGGCGGAGCCAGGGGGGGTGACAGGGGGTGACATTCTGCGTATAAGTGTACGACACTCGGTCTGGCGGACTCCGTGCAACTGCATTGTCAGAGTGTGTCGCCAACCGATGGCGTCTAGTTCAACAGCCTGACTCTCTAATCATTCTTGAAATTAAAATTTGTTGAATGTTACCCCGGTCTGAAATCCTGGCTCCGCCCCTGGTGGTGACACTCGTATTTGTGATGTGCACGATCCTGCTTTACCCAAAGTCGAATTTGAAACAGTGGCATTATGGTTACTGCACTGTGATATGAACTCTGCCACCTGAGTTTGATTGCTGGCCACGTCTAACACTTGTGACATGTGATATCGAAACCGGTGCTGTCCTGGGCCGCCCATTTCACCAACCTGTACTGGCCAGGCTGGTGAAGTATGGCCATAGAGCATTGGATTGGCAAAGGGATGTTACATGTTTTACATTATGCTGGTAGGAACCTCCTGGTTACACCAGCCCACAGGGGATTATTGTGTCCGTCTGTCGTGCATCCAAAAATGGGAGGGGTGGGGCTGGGTGGAGAGGGGAGGGTGGGGAGGGGCTGGGTGGGGAGGGAGGAGCTGGGTGGGGAGGGAGGGGAGGGTGTGGCTGGGTGGAGAGGGGAGGTCTGGCGAGGGGCTGGGTGGGGAGGGAGGGGCTGGGTGGGGAGGGAGGGGCTGGGTGGGGAGGGAGGGGCTGGGTGGGGAGGGGAGGGTGGGAGGGGTGGGGCTGGGTGGGGGGTGGGAGGGGTTGGGCTGGGTGGGGAGGGGCTGGTCACCCCGTGGTGCCCTTATAAAACTCAACGTTTAACCTACTCACGCCGGCTTGTGCCCGCCCTCACAGTCGGGCATATTTGCGGAATACACCACGTGGTGCCGCCGTTGACCCTGGCCATTGACCGAGCAACCCAACGTTCCTACCAGCTCCCTATCGCAGGAATGTGTTGTATGTGTGTTGAACTTCTTTCGCACCGTACATAGCCAAACCTTTGACTTAAAACTTTCGTGACTGCAGGAATTCATATTCTTTGGTTCTTTTAATTAATAAAGAACCAAAAACTCACAACGTTTCGATCACAACACAAGCGGTCGTCATCAGGCGCCTGATAAAATAAATTGTTCTCTGTTTGTTTTCTAGAATTGTTCGTTGCATGGTATATGAACTTACATTTATTTGTTTTAGGATTAAATGATACATATTGAGAGGTAACTTACAAAATTATTTGTTAAACACTGTGATGCAATGTTAATTGGACTGTTTTCAGAATAACAAAAAAAAACGATTTCCTTACTAAAGCTTTGCAGGAACACATTGTGAGGTGGTCTGGTGGCTTTGGGGGTTAGAGGATTGAGCGGGCACCGCCGAGGTCGTGTTCCAATCCAGGAAGCTGAATAGATTCCAACCCGCAATCTCGCGTGGAGTTGCGATGATAGTCTTAACGTGTCTTTTCGCTACATTTTTTGCAAAATTTCCGCTGTGAGAATTCCAAAATATTTGATTTCAACTTTGAAAGCCGCACGACGAACCTTTTTGTTCCTGCAGCAGGGCATGTAGGGAAGTTTCATCCCTGGTTGTGTGGATATAACAAGCTCTCTGGAATAGATCTCACAGATAGTTCCGTGATATCTCCCTCCGGGAGCTGTCTAACATAACGGGGTGTTATGCAGAGGTCTACGAGGGTTGTCTATGGAGACGTTGTCCTGTGACTTGATTTCATGACATCACTCCAGCAGCGAAAAGATCACAGATTAACGCGTTAAAAATAATCTTCAATTCAGGATTTCTTGTGACCCCCTCCCACGCCCCCCACCCCCCCCCCCCCTCCCCCGCCGGATCATTGTTGACTTTAAGGACCTGACGGGAAAGCTTCCCGAGGAGTTCCCCCTGGCTCTGGGTGAGAAAGCTCCGTCCGTCCGGAGGAGAGTGGGAACCTCCTTCAAGCTGGACGAGCACAAGATCATCATGCGCGGCGAGGTGAGCAGGAGACTCGTGAATTAAATTACGACTCGGGTGTGATTAGCTCGATTAACAGCAGGTTCCTTTGTTCATATTGCGTGCATCGAATTGTGTACGTGAGAGTCTGTTACCCACAATGTTGTGCGAATTATATGTGCAACCCTCGCTGACCGGCATCCATGAAGTATGGTCAATCAAGCTCCATGATGACACAGCCTTCATTCAATAGCGGATTAATAAAAGGTCTGTAAATTTCAAGAGCAATATGGCGATTATATACCAACATTACATGGAGTCTAATGGAGTAAACACAACGGTACAAAGTTGGCAACATTTTACGAGAAAAAATGCTAATTAGTTGGTTAAAATTAGATGAAGATGGGATTCTTGAACCAAAAACTCGCTAGATTCGGGAATCGGGGGTGAGATGGAATTGTTGCTATTATCCATCATAAGTGAATGCCCCATGAAAAATAACAATAGCTTTTACCTTTTCTGTCAATAAAACAGGTGTTGAGATGTTCCAACACCAAATAGATACCTTTTGCAAGGAATCAAGTACTGCATTAACCGCACATATTGTCGTGAATGTGAAAACAAACATGATCTGATAATATATGCATTATCTATTTGGTGTTTGAACATCTTTACAGCTGTTTTATTGTCAGAAATGGTACGACCTATTCCTATTTTTTATACTTTGATACTGGCAAAAAAGGTCTCATGAATATCGGCACTTCAACTTAAACTGCAAAAGTGACACTGGGGTGATATTTAAATTATTGATAATGGGTTGAGTCATGAGCAGAGTTGGATGAGCAATGGCGATTGACAGTTGAAGGTAATTTTCACGTAGAAGAGTTGGAACGTATTAAACTTCTTCCATTCGGTGGGCATGGCTCAAAATGTGAAACAGAGATCATCTCTTGATAGTTTTCATATCATGTGGAATCCATTAAATACCAATAAAGTGGTGGTATTTGAGTTTATGTGCATGTGTGTGCTTCGATGTTGATAGTGGAGAGCGGTAGCGTAGCGGTTAGCTGCGATCCGAACACAGCGACTGTGGTTCAATTCCCGCTCACGGCTAAAACCAGTTACGATTATTTTAACCGGTCCTGGACCTCCCCTAGGTCGACTCAGCCTAAAATAAGTACCTGGTGTGGTGTGTAAACATCGCCACTAGGGAGACAAAGGCGGCCAGGCGTGGTGCTGGCCACCCCTACCCCCTCATGTACCGTTCCGGCCTTCATAAGTGCTCACGGACAGCACTTGCCCCCAAAGTTTGTTAAGGCTATACAGGGGATCTTTGCATTTGTCTTGTGCTTGGCAGGAGGCTGGCCTGGAAAAGCTGGTATTTTGGCTCTTTGTGCATATGTCTGTGTGGGTGTGCGGAGCAGAAGTGTAATGGTTACCACACTGTGCTACAAACTACGTAACCTGAGTTTGATTCCTGGCGATGGCGAGTATATATGGTTATTAGCTGAACCGGTCCTGGGCATCATCTAGGTCGACTAAGCATTAAAGGAATACCTCCTGCAGTGTGTACACATCAGCACTGGGGAGATATATGGCTGGGCATGGTGCTGACCAGACCGTGTCCTCGTGCATCACGATGTCCTTAATAGGTGCTCGCCAACAACACGGACAACACGTGCCCCAATAGTCAATTTATTTGGTTCAAGAATACTTTTTTTTTACTTCAATACAACCGTTGAATTTGATAAGAGATATTTGCCTTGGTCTGTGTGTGTGTGTGTTGGCAGGAGGCTGATCTTGAGACACTGGTATTTGGGTTCATGTGTGTATGTCTTTGTGTGTCACGCTTTACGTAGCGCGACATTGCCATGAGGCTGACCTGGTCATAATCCTCCCCTATTATAATTATTCGGGGTACAACTTAATGAGTTTTGATTTACTTTAGGTATGAACAGATGCAATGATGTGAATTATTAACATGTTAAAGTAAGCTGAACCACGATACAGTCCCTTTAACTCGGTGAGAATGCATCTCATTCGCAATTTATTTATTTAATAATTTTCAAAGAGTAAAGATGACACCAGTGTTGTGAAGTTAACTTAACATAAAATTAACTCTTTGGTTCTTTCGGTAAAGTCAAGTAGAAAGAGAAAATAATAAATTAAATAATAGCATACGACGTTTCTGTTGCAACACAAGCAATCATCATCAGGTACAAATGAAAGAGAAAACAAACCTAGTGAACTTAGAAATATAATGCAATACAGCACAGATAGTCGGCTAACATAACAGTCAACACCCTACTAATGAGAGATTTGGAACTTTCGTGACTGCAGGAAATAAGATCAACAACACGAGGGGAGACAGAGAGAGAGAGAAAACACACTAAATCAAACAAACTTAGTAAAATTTGAAAATGCATTGCAACACAGAGAGTCGGTCAACACACGATTGACGCATAGCCTGGTTGATTACGTTCTTCCAAAGATCGCTAAATTATAAGTTAAGTGTGAAATTTGAGAGAGAGACAAGACACAGAGACACCAAGACAGACAAACAAGCCGAGAGAGACAACACACAGACACACACACAGAGAGAGAGAGAATGTGTGGTTGTGTGTGCTTTTGATGTTGGTAGGAGGCTGAGCTTGGAAGGGCCAGTATTTGGTCTCGCGCGTGAGTGCCCGTGTGTGCGCGTCTCTGCGTCTGTCCTCGTGTGCGCCTGGACGTTGGCAGGAGGCCGAGCTGGAGAGACTGGAACGAGACTTTGCCATCCAGTCCCAGATCACAGAGGCAGCCAAGCGCCTGGCCAGTGACCCTGGCGTGAGCAAGAAGGCTCGCAAGCAGCGCAAGTCCTCCTACCAGAACTCGGTCCGCAAACTCCAGGACATAGAGGCAGCCATCAACCAGTACCGGCTCCGTGCGGGGCAGGAACCCACGAAACGGACTTCCCACATCGGAGATGGTGATGACTACATTTCACCATTACCATATTATTGAAAGGTGCACTGGCTTCCCTGGTAGTTTAAAGCTAAAGCTGTGGGAGAGTTTTATAATACGGTTGCTGTGCGCGCTCGCGTGTGTGTGTACGTACAAGACAATATTTGCATAACTTTAATGACGCCAGGCACGAAATGTGGAGTGCGTCATAATTTCCGGAGCATCATATACAACAGAGAATCGACGTTTAGTTGAAGTCGATAGTTGTGTCCTTAAAGCTACCCTTCTCCCATTTTAAGTCCATGCTAAAGACATGGAATTGTATTTTCAAATCTTCCTTTGACAAAAGTAACTTGTAGTCTGAACGTCCTTTCGGATGTATTTGAAGATGTATATCCATTTGTTTGTCATCCGTAAAAATAGTGTATTTCCCAACATATAAGAAACATATAGTAGCCATCATGTGTGTATACAATAGTTACTATATTTAATAGGATAATAAAGAACGGTTATGTGGCGTACAATTTTATCATTTGTTGTACAATTTATGATTTGGAGTGCATCTTAATAATCTTTTAGTAGTTGTTTAATTGATATCTAAACGGATGCAACGGTGTGAAGTATCAACGTGCTGAATTAAATTGGCCTCAATTACTTACATTTCCTTTAGCTCTACGATTAAGTGAGATTGTACATCTTGCTATGCGACCACAACAGGGTTCACAATACATATAAAACATGGGTTCGAAGTAAAGGTGATGGCAGTGTTCAGTTAGCTTACGAGGGGATATACTGAATTTGTCAATAACACATTTGGTAAATGGCAGTCTACCAAAACTGTGTTAATGTACACTTTGGGTATTAATTACAGGCTGAGAGCCATAGAGGGCAGTTAATGTTGGCATTATTCAATCAAGGGGCAAGTAGCATCAATATTAAGTGTCGCCATCAATCATTATACTTTTAATTGCATAGGGTGCGGTGTAGCAGTGATTGGCTTGGAGATGTATTGAATCTCTTTTCTCATTGCAGAGGAAAACGTTCACTCTGACGTGCAATCAGATGGCAGCTCACTCGCCGAAGCATCGGCTCTGGAAGACGGTAAATAAATTTCCGCTCGCTAGAACTGCACACGCCAAAGATTGGCAGCAGCAGATTCCAATAATAGAGAGAGCAAGCACGTAATATAGAACAAATATACACTCTACGTATGCATTATTTTCACATAAAATGACATGAATGTTTATATACGCATACTTTATCATTTTGCGAGGACTTGAAATTAAAATATTTGTCAATATAGTAATGTATATACACTCATTGATTGGCTGAAAATGTCTTAATATACAGAGGACCGCAGTGCTTGGGCAATTGTTGGCAGCAGCTGGCAAGCCTGGCTGCCTTCACGCTCGTCTGTGATTCCTCATTGCCTCTGGGTCATTCTCTCTGTTTGAAAGTGAGCGAGTGTTGTGCGGCGCATGACAAATTCAACGCAGTGTTAAATAATTATGAATACGTGCGGAACCCACTCCGCCTTCACCCAGCCGCACTTACCAGCATGGTGAAGTATGGTCAAACAACCAGCGAATATTCTGCAGCGTGGTGAGCCGTTGTCCAGCAGTAGACTGATATGGCTTATAAATTATTATAATTAAGTATGCATTCGTTGCAGTGTAATTGATAGGTGGACATCGGGCTTACATATAAATATTATTATGCTATCAAGTTGCTGCTGCTTCATTGAATGTGTGCATAACATGACAATTAAACTTCATACTCAGTTTTTTTTTTTACTGTCACTGAGACGAAAACAACATGCCAGCTGACTGGCCAAGGGGTTCCTGAAGAAGGCCAGTCAGCCGAAACGTCGAGATCTCCCGTTGAGTTTTAATAACATAATTAGATGCTGCCACGGTGTAATGGGCACCACACTGGACTTCCAGAGCAATCCAGAGCTTGCCAGTTGGATCTCCCGGTGCGGCAGTTTAAACCGTGAGCAAGTGTCCTTAAATTCCACGCCTATGTTCACCCAGCAGTATAAATGGGTTCATCACAGTGGGGTAAAGTGTGCATACTCCCACCTCTTCCAAGTCATCTGGCCAGTATGGAACAGTAGGCCAAAAATTTAATTTTGAGTTCCTTCTGACAGATGCCTTTCCGTCAGCGGTAGCGTGAGCATGAACTTGTGGGGCTGCGTTTTTGTGCCTATATCGAATTTCAATAATGTTCTGTCTGCTTCTTATGTGTGATTTTTTCTGTGCACATGAGTCATTATGATTCATACTTTTGATGTTAAAAATTCATGCAGTGAGGCTCTTTTTTTTACAGTATTTTTCCTAACCTGAACCATACAGTTTCACAATCTTGTGGTTATGGTTTCAAAATCTTGTGGTTATAGTGCCTATTTTTGCATCTGTAATATATTAAGGATAGCTGCTATACATCGTAGCTACAAAGGTGGTTGAGCATTATTTATTACATATATATACATATGCCAATGACCAAATTGCCTAGAATTTTCCCGAATCTCATCAGATCTCAGACGTCATTCAGGGTTGAGCATGGATAGTCTGCATATGGGTGGCCACCGTGAACAAATGGGTTGTCATATGATGGGCGGGTGCAAACAAATCCATTGTTGTACTGCACTTCCATTCTCTATTTCCCTACGTGTATGCTCCCCACCTTGATGAGCCTGTGTTGATCGGCGTGATGAAGTATGGTCAATTAACCCTCAGGAACCACACTGTGCGGAGGCCCTTATCCAGTTGTGGATTCGCTTAAGGTTGTTCGTGTGCAGCCTTGCAACTTATCGTTCACTCCACTGCTTGCAAAATACCACCTCTCAAGCGGAGCTCTAGAGAGCCGCACCAGAGGGAATTTTGGCCTACTCCTCCACCACGCTGGCTGAGTCACCTTGGAAGAGGTGGGCGTATGCCGATTTTACCCCACTTTAACGCCACCTGCTGATCGCTTAACTGTGGTGCACAGATTTGTGAAAAGAGCTCCATAGCTCATCGGATTCCGCCAGCTTAAATAAAGATTCTGATTCTACTTCTGGGTGGACAGAGCGTATACATTTAAAACACGTGTCCATATTTTTTTACTTCTTTGCAGGGAGGTCAAACCGGCGACCTCTGGATTACAAGTTTAGTGTGCCAACCGTTACACTGCGGCAGCATATGCAGTCTGTACATGGTTTCTGCGTCTGTAGTTGATTAACAATGGTTGCTTGCACCGTGCTGCTGCAAAGGTGGCCGTGAGCAATTCGTCAGTCTGCATGCACGATTTCTCTCCTCCCCAACACGTCTCTCCTCCCCAACACGTCGCTCCTCCCCGCAGAGGACTCCCCGCGGAGCAGCCTGCTCTCCTCACTGCTGTCCCCGCAGCGTCTGGTGCCGCCGCTGCTGGGCGGCTACGCCCGGCCCTCTCCGCCCACGTCTCTCGAGGGCCTGCGCCGGCAGCAGTCCTTCCGTGGAGACCCCTCCTCCCCGTCCAAGTCCGGAAGCTGGGCCGAGTCCTCGCTGGACGAGCCCTATGATCGCCCTCGCAAACCCCTGCTCCGACACACCATGTCCAGGTGACAGCATCGCTCCTTGAGGCCACGTGAAATATCAAAAGCTCCTTTATATATATACATACACATGTGCAGCTATTGCCTAGACCAGTGGTCGACAACCTGCGGCTCTGGAGCTCTATGCAGCTCTTTAAGGACTGCTTTGCGGCTCTTGAAATATTGAGGGGTTTTTTTTACCCCCCCCCCCCCCCCAAAAAAAATAATAATGGCTCTTGTTATTTTGGTTGCTGACCCCTGGCCTCGACCATAGTGGCATTGCCCAGAGCTGCAGTGTTGCTCTGTGAATGGCGTATAGAAGGGAGACAGCTTTGAAAAGAGCGCTTGCTTGCTGGCTTGTATCTCACAGCCCCTTGGGGAGTCCGTCGCACCAGCCGGGCTGCCAGCGAGCTAAGGGAACGGGCTCCCTGCAGACCAGCCCAGTGAAGGCCGGTCCTCGCTGGGACTCGTCCAGCGTGCCGTCCACTCCAGACTCGCGTACTCGTGCCATCCCCTTCAGCCAGCACCAACGGTCAGTGTCTAAACAGCCCCGGTTATCGTGCTATTGAGGTGACCACGCTGAGCTGCCAACGCTGTGATCATGCACTCAAATCTGTGCTTAAACGAGGTTCTCAAGTGTAGAGAGTTTATGGTCCCTGCCCAGCCAACAACGACTGCGCGCACAAAAAACGTGACGTTAAATTTGATTACGCACAGAGTTTGGCTAAATACCAGCTCCGAGAATTCAGAATAAAAATGTGCTTAGAAGCAGAGTGGGTGGTAAAGTACTGCACAATACTGTGTAGAACGAAAGTCAAATGATGGAATTTCAATTGGTAGCTCTTTGCTATCTACTTCCATCTCCAATGGAGTATGGTGCAGCGTGATATGACGCCGACAACAGAATCGGTATAAAATTATGGGAAAAGATTCAAAAGATTTTAGAAAGTGGCAATTACTATGAGCAGTCATGAGTAGGATTTTACGACGCACCGATTCATGGACAAAAAGGTGTATTTTTATGCTCACAGTGCGTGCATCATATTCTGCATGCGCGGGCATAAATGATCTTAGAGTGTTATTTAATTGAAATATATTATGGGTTCACGTGGTCCCTGCAGAAACTCTGGGTTCTATATGAATAAAGTGGAAATAATTAAATCAGTTCTTGCATCGAATCATGACAATCAATCGAAATGCAAGGTGGGTGAATCTTCACGTCTCTTCTTGACGTACATAGTTTGATCACAAGGTCTTAACTATAACCGTGCCTATTTTATCGAATGTCTTTACCTTGTAAACAGTCCTCAGATGTTGGCTATTAAGTTAAACATTAAATGATGTTCATTTAAAATTATTTGTCTCGTGTAATAAAGGACCATCAAATATTTTTTTTATGAAACATTAAGTTATTTGGCAGTTTAAATTTACTTTGGAAAAATAAACATTTCTATAATTGTGAAAAGACAAATCAACACACCGCTTAGCTGACACTCTATTCTATCGATCCAATCACAGCTTCCTTAAGAGATGTCTCAGGGGTAGAGTGAGCAGCTTGCAATCCAAAGGTCGCGAGTTCAAATGCTGGTTGAGGGTTGACTCAGCCCATCATATCTCCTTGTGGAATAAATCATCAGTGATTTGTCATGGATTAACTCACCCCTAGCATAGGAATGTGTAATTACCACCACTGGCGCCGAGTGGTAAATAGGAGATGAGCCACTACCTTAGTGCTCATTTGAGCAGGAAGTCAGTTTTGTTGTTGACAGCTTCAATTTTAAGCGCCGTGATGGTGAGATGTTAACTACCGAGCTGACTATACAGGAGCACATGGGTTCGATGCAAACCCTGACATCTGCATATTGCATGTTCTCCCCGTGGTCACGTGGATTTTTCTCTGGTTCCTCCAGTTTTTCGTTCCACATTTAGAAAAATGCGTTTAGAGTATTTAACTGCCATACATTTCCACGTGATAAAAAAGCCACTTCGTTGAACGATCATTTGTGGCCAGGTCGCTTCTGATACCTTACCTGGTAAAATACCCCAAAAAAAGTTTCGTTTTAGTTTAAACTTCTTGCACATTTGCAGATGGTTCGAGTCCACTCTTGGCGAGCAGCAGCATCAGCAGCATCAGCAGCAGCCTCTCCCGGCCGCCCACCTGCGCCAGCGCAGCTGCAGCCTGGAGTCTCAGAGCCAGCTGCTGGTGTCCGAGGGCACGACGGTGGCCGGCGGCGACCTGAGCTGCGGCACGGGCACCGTGTCGCGCAGCAGCAACAGCTCGGAGCTGCCGCTGGACGACCACTCGTCCTACACCAGCCAGTCGAGCTCCGAGTGCGGCTACTACGGCGGGCCGGGCGGCCGGACGCCGTACGACGCGTCGCGGCCGGGCCGCCGCGCGTCGGCGGGCGGCGCCGACCCCCGGGCGCTGCAGAGGCACCGCTCGGCGGAGAGCCTCGTGTCGGAGGCGCGGGGCGAGATGCAGGGCGCCGACGGCGGAGGGTGCGGCGGCCCCGGCGGCGGGGGCGGCCCCGGCGGCGTCGGCGGAGCGCGACGCGCCGGCCTCTACCGCTTCCCGCACAACGTGCCGACGTCACAGTACCGCGTGAAGGAGTACCCGCTGTACGCCGACCGGGCGGACGGCTCTCGCTGCGTGGTGCGCAGCCTGGAGAGCGAGCGCGAGGGACACTACTGCGTGAAGGCGCAGGTGCGCACGTCGCACTCGTACACCGCCGGAGGGATGTACCGCGAGAGGGTGGCGCGCCAGGAGGGCGGCGCCGTCGTGCACTCCATCACCCAGTCGCGCTCGCAGGTGAGGCGGGGCGGGGGCGGGGCGGGGGGGGGGAGGAGGTGCCGCCTCTCTGTGTGGCCATCATGCAGACGACGATGATTCGAATTAAAGCGTTTCGAAGAGTAGACCGTTGTGTTTCCAAGGCCATTTTTGTTGTTGTGGAAAAAATGCCGGCACATTTTCGGCTCGGTATTTTGGGGAAATGGCACGAGATTTTTTTTACGGGCAATGTCTTTGTAAAAAAGATGTTGTTAAATTCCGGAATTGCACCTTGAAGGTATTTTTCATACCTCCGTATGAGTTGTCACCTCGGAGGTACAAAAAAAACTGGGACATTGAGGGAAAAGGAATATCTCACACGAGCAGAAGAAGGTAAAACTGCATTTAATGTATTGTCTTGAGCGGTGTATTATTTATCATTGAATTGTCAAAGAAACTGAACTCGTAATGGCAAAACCAGGACTGCCGGCAACTCTCAGTGCAGTGCCAGACATTTTGTGAGCCTTCCATCGCCCCTGTTTCATCATCAGTAATGTACACCAAGGTGGCTAGGTTGCTGGCAGCGCTCATGCCATTATGGAGTGCTGAGCCAGTGTAAACTAATGCTGTTGCCCTATGCCCCCAGGGGAAAGAATAGGGGTTAGGGTCCGGCTCTACATTGGTTAGCACAGAGTTCGGACCAAACAGATGGTTTGAGAAAGTAAAACTATCCTGACAGAAAACTGAGCACTGACCAAAATTCATTCCTGGGCGAACAAATATTCAGGGAGAACATATATAGTCCCTGCACTGGCCCCGATAAGCTTCCGGTGTTGAATCTGGGCAGCCATCTGAAATGAAATCGTGTTCTCAAGTTGCAGTGAAAGGACAGTCAGCCCGGTCATGAATGACCGTACAAATAAACCGGTAATATTAGATTTGGTTTTTCATTTCATTTGGCTTACTCCAGTTGTGCCAATTTTAAAGTTTAGTATAATTGACGCTCAACATTTAAAAGTGGGGCCCTAGTATGGATAAAAGGGGCCAATTCAAGTGAACTCAGAAACTTTATGACAGCATCTTCCAGGGCTGTCCTCGTACATGTTGGCATATTGTTTGCGGCGACAGTTCTGAATGGGTACGTTATTGCCTCATGCCATGGTGCCAGCAAGGACAACTGGAATATAACTTGGAGGAAAATTGTTTAAAGATGTGCATTGGAATTGTGGAAGATGCTGTTAAATGTGGCGCTGCCATTCCACTGTGGAGGGATTGCACTCCGTTCTGGAGCTAGAGTTGGTGCTGATTATCTACTCCTTTCTTTGGTCACACCTGAGAAATGAGAAGATGCCCTCTCGTACGCTCCCAGTTGAACAATCAACAACATTCCCTGACAGACCATTGGGTTTAAACGTTTATGGCACACGAATGCCAGATGGTGTTGTGCCTCCCTAGAGGGAATAGAGCAAGTGATGCTTACAGAGAGACTTCTGAAATGGAAGAAAAAAAATATCTATGAGTTATGTTATAGAACATCACTCAACATTTTTTTATTTAAAGCTTTCGTGACTGCAGGGAGTCATATTCTTGGGTTCTTTCGGTAAAGTCACGTAGAAGGGAAACAATAAAACAATAAAAATAAAATATAATAAAATTCTCACGAATTGTGTTGTGACCGAAACGTCGTGAGAATTTTATTATGTTTTATTTTTATTGTTTTATTATTTCCCTTCTACGTGACTTGACTGAAAGATCCAAGAATATGAATCCCTGCAGTCACGAAAGCTTGAAATCGAAATGAAAATAACAATAATACTAAATTTTGATTTAAAGCTTTCGTGACTGCAAGAATTCATATTCTTGGGTTATTTCGGTAAAGTAACGTAGAAGGGAAACGATAAAATAATAAAAATATAAAACAATACAATTCTTACGACGTTTTGACTGCAACACAAGCAATCATCATCAGGTGTGAAAACCACAGCAAGAAATTTTTATTATATATTTACCGAAAGAACCAAGAATATAACTCAACGTATCGTCAGTCACTCACACGGACCAGTGCAATAGATTGCACAACATATCAGCCACGCTTGTAAGTCATGACAATTGACGAGACAGCTCTATATAATAAGGCATGTTATAATGATGATGCATCGATTTATTCATTAAAATGTAATATTACTGTCACAATACTAGAATCGCATTTTTTGTGCAATGTATTATGTATGATTACTGAAAGTTTATTGCAAATTAAATGGCTTATGGGTATATATAGACTAATGGAGTGAATATACTTTACAACTGTAACAGAATAAAATAAGAAAATACAAATGAGATGGTAATACAGGAGACAAATAATTAACTCTTGAATGCAATCGCCACCCTGAATCGTAACAATTAATTTGAGAATGGCATGGCCGGTGAACCAGGGGGGTACTAAATCATTAAATGCCATTTTAAAAGTGACCTTACCACTGCATGTGTTTTTCTGCCGGTTGTGCCGTATAGCTCTCTGCAGTGTTTTTATTTTTCGTGTTGTTACCGCACGTTGATCAACACGGCGTCTGCCGAGTTTATTCAGCTCCTAAAGCAGCTTCCAACGAAGCGTTGGACGTCACAGCCGAACCGCGCGCGGATACAGCCCCGAGGACACATTCGGAGAGCTTCAGCGGTGACCTTTGTGTGTGTTTTTTTTTGTACGCGCGCCGACGACAGGTGGTTCGTAGCTGCTGCCAGGAAGGCGTTCGGACGAGCACTCTTGAGCACCTGCGCTCCTGGTACGAGCGCAATGCCTATCGGGACCCGCGGAGACTTTCGCACGTCTGGTCAGATGCTGACCGGCTGGCGCTTTACCCCCAGGGCGCGGCCTCGCCTCCTCCTAGCAAGCCCACGCAGACAGGTGCCGCTTTCTCGCCTCTCAACTTCATCTTCTTTTGTTTGGCGAAGGTTCACAAAAGAAAATGAAAAAAAAAAACACCTCTTGCTGTGATTTGCATATTTTTTCCTCTGGTTTGAATCTTGAAAACACCACAGCTGGCATGCTATGATATTACACGCAACAACCACGCTCCACGCGGTTGGCTACGTACGGTGCGAAAGAAGTTCAACGTGCATACAGGCTGGTAAGCCAGGGGACGGCTACCAGAAAATGATGAAAGAGGGGGCAGCCGCATTGTGGCTGTGTGGTTCGTGGTTTGAGATTGTTGCCCACAGATGGAACTGTGGCGCTGACCATTGGCGTAGGAGACGGCCACATCTGTCGTGTGATGTTATGACGTGGTTCGATACAGACCGTTGCTTGCACTGTTGTGATATGCACTTACTTGACAAGAGCCCATTTGTTAAGTGGTTCACCTGTTGGCACTGCGGTGCAACAGCGCTCAGGCTGCCGCTAAGGGGTTGTCATTGCGCCTGTAACCTATTTGCCCCAGCTAAACGCTCTCTGTTCCTCCCGTCGATGTGGGCAGGCGGGTGTGGAGGCGGCAGTAGGAGAAACACGCTGTCCCCTGCTCACCAGGCGGGTGAAGCTGCCTCGTACACACACCAGCCTGTGCAGCACACGAGGTGAGCCTGAGCACAAGTTTAAAGTTCCTTTTTTGTTCAACCGGCGTGAGAACCCAATCGAGGCAGGGGGTCGTCTTATGAGCAAGAGTGATCTGGGTAGTAGTCTCATGAGCAAGCATGACACGTGTGTGTGTGTGTGTGCGCGCGCTCAGCCTGGCATAAGTGGTGGTGGGTGACGTGACCGTCACTTAGAGGCCAACGGTGGCTTCTTGTTGTGCTTGGAGTGTAGTGGGGTTAGTGGCCGGCATACTGTAATACAGATCCAGCTACGGTGAATGTTAGTAGCAAATATACAATGAGAACTTTGCCTCGATTGCTCGCGTTAAGGTATGTACCCCAAGTCTGAATGCCTATAGATCTTTCCTATAGTTGTTTGGCTATTAAGTCTAAATCCCAACTGTTGTAATGAATGTTTTAATCAGCTGCAAATTAGATATGTGTGTATTATTTCTCAAGAACATTATTTTTCCCCCACAGTCTGTCCAGAGTAAAAGGATGATCTTTGTATTTCTGTTTCTGAATAATGTAATTTGTTACAGTTACTGTGTGATACTTGTAAGCACCAATGTTCCTGTCACTTGAACTCAAATCTCAGATTTGCCTCCCACTGGCAATTTGTTTAATGCCGTGGGGGCTTCTTATGAGTCAGCTCATCCCAACTTGACTCATTATGAAGCGTTATTGGTCATTAAATACAGCTGACTCAGCCCGATGAGCCTCAAAAAGTAAAAATCGCTCTACAGTTCATTAGTATAAACAACTACTGCTGGATAATGATATTAGTGTGGAAAACCAATAGGCTGATAAACTATTAACTTTCCAAACCAATATTAGCATGAGTATCATAAGTTCGATGTGGCTTTTTGAATTATATATCCATGTGGCTATGTTCCCACTACTTTCCTCTATGCATTAATACACCCCTAGTACAACGGACTTTATAATACTATGCCTCATGTATTACATTGTTGAGCTTAATCTGCAATGTATGTTACCTTTTTAACAGAACAAGGGAGAATGTAATGTTAACCCAACACCAGTAAAAGTCGGAATGCAAAAACTAGACCGCGCTATAACATCAACTGGTATTCGTAGTTATTAATTATAACTCTGTGTGTGTGTATATATATCCAGTGAGATGGTGTGTGAGAAAAGTAATATAGCTACGGCTCTGTTTGCATTGATCAAAATTGAAATTCCACTTTTATGAAATTACAATTTCCTGTTTCTCTTCCTTGCCGAGACTTCAATCTGTTGTTTTTTGTTCATTCACTGAAGTGGGTGACTTGCTGTTGCTGCACTGTGCCTTTCTCCTGTGCTCTACCTCTGGATTAGTCTCAGTAACTTCTGACCTTCCATTCCCTCTGCATCTCGTTTTCCCGGCTGTCTTCCTCGTCCTCAGTGATACCACCCCTCCCTCTCAGGAACCCCCAGAGGCTCCTCAGCAGCCCTAGGGAAGCTGCAGGTAACATCTAATGTGTTCTTATGAACTAGGAAACAATTGGACTCGTTTGCAGTAACATTAATATACAAGGGGCAGCTTTACAAAACGGTTTGGGATTGCAATATATTGAAAGAGTGCATAGACTCAAATGTTGTTTTAGTTTTCAATTGGCAAATTGTGTTGCACATTGTATTTTGTACAAGAGAATAGACTTTAAAATAAGCTTTCTTTCTCACATGCCCCGTGATCATATGCACGTAATGCATATTTTTGCCAAGCAAAATGCAACTTGGAAGGGATGCGATGAGCTCATGTTCAGGTATATTTGGAGGGCCAAGGTCCTTTAGTTGTCATGTTTCCTGCCTTTGGAACTTTGTCCCAAGTTATATCAAGAATGCAGGAATCAAGACAAATGTTAAGTTGTTTGCATTCGCGTGTCCTTCGAGCTGGATTTGATTGGCCGATTGTTTATATTATTGTCAGACCCTTTTATTGGGATGCACTGAATAAAGAGCTCTCTATATAAGCTAAATATATTGGATTGTAAGTTTTGATGATAAGCCTTTCTTCACAAATATTTGCTAGATGTGTGGATATAACATTTGCGTCCATTTTTTTTGCATTAATGCTCGATTAAGTCCTGTGGGGTTTTTTTTTTCTTCTTTTTTTCTTCTTTCTCCCAACAGGTCGTACAGCAGGATAACGTACTACTCGAGTATCATGAACAGGCAGAGAAGCCACCGTGCCCAGCACATTACCAGCCCACTCGCTACGTGGCACAAGGAAGACCACATTCAAAATACAGCCAGGCTCACTTGACCAGTGTTAATAGACATAGTGTATATTTACATAAGAAAACATTTTAAAAAAATAAAAAAAACTATTTTGGTCAAATGTAAAAAGAACAAGTCAGCATTTTCACAAACTGGCCCTCCGGTTGCCAGAAATATTGTTTTATTGACCAGCATATAATGTATGTTTTATCTCTTTGAAACTATTTTCTCTTAAAATTTGAATGCAAAACAAATATATAACATAATTTATTTAAAGAGTGTTGTTTTCAAACAGAAACACATCATCATTACTAAGCTACAAAGGCATGCAACTACAATCTCTCTCCAAAAGCTATGATACTTATTATAACAGCAAAATAATAACGCCACATGAAAATTAGATGGTAATTCTGTTTCATATTGCAGAAGTGGCTTTCATTCAGCTGGGCTGGATTTAATTAGGGTACTATAAGATTTGTTTTATATCCATAATTAAATTTTTTATATTTCATTGGAATCACGCTAATTTACCTTATAATACGTATTCCCTGCTATATCTGTAAAACACATTTGCAGTCCACTCCAGTCAATTGGTTCTGTGAATTAGAGGACTTCGCATGATCTAGACAAAGCAGGTTGAATAATTGTAGATTACTGTGTTAAGGTAATGCACAGTGGCTTGCTCCTGCAAATCATGTGATGGAATGTTTCTTTCACATCTACACACTGGCATATGCAGTATTGATGACTCCCTACATCACTGAAAAATATTCTGTTTGTCTAGCCCCCCCCCCCCCCTACTTACTCTTTGAACAAGACAATTCTTGAACATAATGCTTTTTTAATTTGAAGTGAAGGATTTTCAACGTGAGCACATGAAAATCCTTCAGAAGCCGCACACAAGGATCCCAAGTCCAGAGCGCAGATCCTGTCACTCATTTTGACATTTGGACAAGACAATGCAACCATCCTTTGGTGAGGACCAGCGCCAGCATTAAAAACACACTGGGCAATAGTCTGAGCAGAAAGGAATCTACCCAAGCACAAACTTTGAAGAACATTTAACAATGCCCCATTGTCGATAGATAGGTAGTATAACGGCGTGAATTGCAAGTTAAACCCAACAATGGCTAAATACATCGGAGCAATGTTTGTAGCCATTGAGAATACGTCGCTTTTACAAGTATGGTATATAAATGTAGCCTGGAATATAGGACTACCTTTTTTCCAATGGCAAGAATGTGGATAACAAACAAAAAGAGTAAGAAAAATGTTGTCATAGATATATTGCGTTATTATATTCCGAAGGGTCTAGGTTGTGTAAAAGTCACCTTTTGTCCAAAAGAATAGTGCATTGGAAGCACGTGATTTCGTTTTTTGTGTGCAAAGGTAGATTAAAATGTGTGAAACTTTGTAGAAAGTTGTATACATAAAAAAACTCCTCTTTTCCAAAGGTCATTTATATGACATATATAAGAACTAGTATGAGTTCTGCTTGATTTTTTTATTTTCTTTCTTGTATAATGTGCTGCGTTTTTTTTTAATATGCCAACTTCTGAAGAGTTTGTACGGTCTCTGTGGAGACAGCACTCGAGACAGAATTTGCTCAGAAGCAGTGAGGTGAAATGGATACGAGAGTGGCAGACATCTGGATTATATTATGTGCATGCACAAAAGAGGCTTTTATTTTTAGAAAGTGTTTCAAAGGAAAAAAAATCCCTGGACCCCCTCAAAATGTTTCCTGACTGAAATTTAATTCAGGGAAATGTATAGCTTCTGGGAAAGCTACATATTTTCCTACAATTAAAAAGGCCGTTTCCTGGAGGATGTGCGAGCTGTTAGTTTATATAATTTTATTTATTTTATTTTTTGTAAAAACAAAACTTTTTTTTGAAAATGTTTAATTGTTGTAGTGCAACTGCAAAAACTCATGGTGCTGTCATGCCATATTTTAGGAAACGCTGATAATAGGTAACCACATTTTTAAATTTCATTTTTCTTAAAGATTACATGAATTTTGGTACACTTTTGTAGCCGAGCTATAATTTGGCTTAACTGATTTTCCATCAATTTATATTACCTGAAACTTATGGATTAATGTCAATATTGTTAAGTGTAAACAAAAATATTCGTGATATTAAAATCATAAACCAAAACAAATATTGATTATTGGAGAGCAGGTCAACTTTTATTTCAGTAAAAGTATCATTCTATTCAAATATAATTCACTGTCATACAATTCTGTAAAAAGTTCAACAAAAATCACACATTTTCAGCATACACAGAGCTCTATAATGTAATCTGAAAGCACATATTGCTAGGAAATCCACATTTAATGTTTTGCCTTAAACAAAGTAAAATTGGCTTCATAACATGAAATGTAAGTTGCTTTTTTCGTGTACATTTTGTACAAGCTATTTAGATATTGGCTTGCATTGCAATATCGTAACTATTCATGTTCCACCATTATATTGGCAAGCAAATTACAATATTGCATTTTTGTACAATAACTCGTCATTGAAAATAGATTTTCCCTCTGCAGATTAAAAAACCCTTCATATACCCATGGGCTCCACATAATAGAAATTGGGCTAGGGATTGATTTACATGTACAAATTTAAGAGCTTGTGTGAAAAATAATGTTTTGTCTTTATTCTCCAATAAGTAAAATGAGTGCACATATAAATATTTTAAACAAATAAAGTATAATTTCTTTAAACAAATAAAGTATACGTTCTTTAAAATAAACACGTTTTTATTAAATATTAAATTAACAATACATTCTGAATACATATTAAACCACTTAGTAATGTACTCCCAAACAATATATGATGTGCTTGTATGGAAGACAGCGGGATTTATAATTTGCTTATTTTACCTGGTTCAGCAAAACACACACTTAGGTTCTGACCTTTGTTTATAAGTAATGTGTCTGACTCAATGCAGAAAATAGTGGAGGTATTTGTGGTATTGTGGAATGTTTGACACTTTTGAAAAATGTGTCACCTGCTAAATATAACCAGAGTATATTACTTTAAGGGTGCTTGCCAACAACATTGAACCAGTGGTAATATACTCTTATGGTAGAAAATCTAAAGTAGCAAAATACAAGTCATCACTTCAAAAAGCATTCGAATCTATGTCTTCAAGGCTATATGTTGATGACTAGCAGCCACACCAAGTTTAACACGCTTGTTGATTTACGTAAAATAATTTCTCTTGTCACATTTATCGATATCCTTACTAGCTTCAGAATATGGCGAATGCAGTTCTTGCTTTTCAACAGTCATCGATCTAAAGTCATGAAAGTAGTTTTGTACCATTTTTGTTACATTATTGAATTTCATTGAAGACCATACACAGGGAGCTATACCTGTGTGCATAAACACCTTGCATGGGTTGTTTACCAATATAAGAAGATGAAATGCAATTCATTGCACGATTTGTCCTCGAGTCAAAAAAAAGAAAGAAAAAAGTGACATTGCCTTTTTTTTACTTTTGCCAAAACTTATTACGTGATGGGCAAAATGTTGAACCACTAGGGGACCGCATTGGCAATCCACATCGTGCAGTTTTGCTCAAATTAAGTTTGTAGGAATACCACTGACTGTGCCTGTGCACTGCGGGCAGTGCCGCCACCTATTGAGCTGAATGCTTCTCATTAACTGATAACGTGACTCAATTTCTCATATGGCAATGCTCTATGATTGTTCAAGGAAGTGACTACCTGAAGCACGTACGTTGATCCACGACTTCAAAACAGCCATTTGATGCATCTGGCTCAGCATTGTGACCACCGTTATGCGACTCAAAATATCCAATTGCAGGACATGAGTTAATATAATTACAAACCGTAACTGATGTAGCAATACATTATTCTAATACAACTTAGATGGCATGTGTTTTGTTCGAATATAATGTTTGAGTAAACAGCATTCATGGTTAGAATATATAAAAGGTATATATTTACAAATACTGTATTAACTCTGACTCTTATCTATGCTGTTTATTATAGCAAATCCCATAATCAGTGGCAAACTGGATTTTTCATAGATATAATACATTCTCAGGTTTTTATGCCAATGCCAGGAAAATTGCCAAATCCATTTGCATTATATATTTTTTTTAAACAAATTTCTTAATAACACTTGGGAAATCCAGCCAAGAAGTCTGGCGATCCCATGTAATGTAATGAAGCTTTGAAACATTAACTTTTTAAATCCGAGCATAATTAAATGAATCATGGTAAAAAAAAAAAAACAATTTAGCCCACAAAGGATATGCCAGCAAAATGATTGAAAATACCCATTTTTTCGTTTGGTATTTATTTCATGCTACAGTTAAAAGGCTTGCTTTTTATTTGGCATTCATAATACAATAGATATACCGAGGTATGTTGCACAGGTCTTTTTACTGCGTCTATAACGTATTGATAGTAAAAAAGTGAATCTAAACAAGTACTACGGTTTTGATAAAATAAAAAAGTTTCCTGGATGTGGGAATGAAGAAAAATCTGAAAAATTCCATCTAGGATTATTTGAAACGAGGTGAACAAATGTAAATAGGTGGAATTTTCAGTATTTAGTTAAACAAAAAATCTCATACTTCACACATGTATATATAAGAGATATGAAATTACCTTTGCAGAGGACCATTTAGCCTATAAGCTGAAGACCAATATGTTTTATAAACAGTATTAGCAGTCATAAATATTTCATTTTGAATTCTGACTGCCGTATATGTTTAAAATTGGACACGCGAGTCCATTTTTAAATGTACATAAATAGATGAATTGTACAAAGATAATTTTACGTCATTTTGTCATCTCTGTATAATATGACTTAAGTATTTTTTTCATTGTTGTATTGTTAAGCTGGTTCTTAATATCTTCGATAGCTATTAGTATTGTTTTGTTTTAAATATTGATGTTACTTCTGTGCTTGTTGTACCTAAAAGTATAAGTTATATTTGAGAGGCGTTTAATTAAAGTTGCTAAACTTGGTCCATCGATAGATTGCTATACATTGTAGATAGCATGTATACTGATAAGCAAGTTCATGCTGTTGATAGTATGCTTTTTCCACCTGCGGCATTAATAAAGCATGGAACAATGTGAGCGTTTATAATTATGAGTTTAATGGTGTCTTCTTCAATAAAGTATCTTAGTCCAGCTTTATTGCTGGTGTGTTGACAAGCAGTTTTTTTTTTTAAACGACGTTTCACATTTTTTTACTGAATAATGTGGGGAGTAGGTAAACTGTTTCCACCTGCCCTGGTGTTCCCAGCATCATCCTCAGACTGAGTTCGTGTCTCCGCTCATCCGTCGCACTGTGCTTTCAGGACAACCCAGATGCTCTGAAATATTCAAGGGCTTCCATGCCGATGTACGACACCTGTGGAACCAATTTTTTTTCTCATAAAACACAGAAACATTAATTTGCCATTTGTGTGCCTGTGCTTAACCACCTCGCCCTATTATCCCGTTTCTGCCATCACCCTCAGTCAAGCTCGCATTTTAAACAAACATTTTAGCTAAATTGTAACAAACATGCAACGACTTACGCAGCTTAAAGACAATGGATTCCAGAACTCGCAAAACTATCCATCCAAGTCACTGCACCAATGTAACCAGGCTCCCCCTACGTCTCATTCTTCGGTCGTGATCTTTGGAACTTGAGCAGTGGTCATTTGTGTTCGGCTTTGTGAGCTCCTGCCTTATGCAGAGACGACATGGAGAGTCGTCGATGAACCACGGTGAAACTTTTATTCATCCGCTCAACAGAAGCCTGCTCGCAGCAGCACGAAAATGTCCTCCCGCGCAAAGCCGATTAGCACGGTTGGCTGCGTAGGACGCGAAAGAAGTTCAACGTACATGCAAAGCAGCACGAAAATCTGGGCTAGTAGGCCAAATCCTCATCCCCAATCACTCACGGAGGAGCAAAGCCCAGCGCACAGTACACACCACTCAAACCACTCGATTCAACGCAGACACGTTGCAGGAGATATGCGTCTTCCCACGATATGGCCCGATTGATGTACCTCTCGTGGCGACCTTAAAAATTGTTATTACACTTTTCTGTTTTTAATTTTAAGTTTGTCTTTTAACAAAGACATTGCCAAAAACTAAGCAGGCAATGTTCAGACAATTCCAATATAGCCTTGGAAAACAATTTAACCCTGCATATCTTGATCAAAGAATGTAGGCAGGGTTTAGACTTGATTACCCGTCTGATTATGTGCATGCAGATGTCACTGCAATGCAGTGTCATTTGAGGTGGCCTGATACAATTTGGGTTTACGGTACAGGTATATAGCATATAAATGCGACTGAATCTCAAGACGCTCGACAAACAGTGGGTATGTATATGATATCGAAAGGCGGTCAGTCATAAGCAGACGAGAGGAGGAAGGTCTTTGGCCTCGACTACAATCGTTCGTGCAGGGAGTTCATAGCACGGTTTGCAGAGTTCCAAACGGTGTAAGCAGCACAGAATGAGCGACCTCTTGTCTGACCATTGTTGACCAATGAGCACTTCTACATGAGGTTCTGGACCGAATGAATATTTTAGTTAATTCCACAGCAAAACGGCAGTCAATATGTCAAATATCCCTTAAACTTGTTAAATAAATGATGTGGTGATGCTGCGTTTGGCAGTGGTGCACAAGCACAATGATCACAAACTAAACACATTGGTCTAATACTTCCTTGAAAATAAATATATTGTATACAGGGATTCCTCTAATTACGAACGAGTTCGATTCCAGAAGTCTGTTCGTAAGTCGATTTGTTCGTAAGTCCAACTTTACTCATGTCGATTCTAAACATGTTGTATGGCATACACACTAAACACGGAGGGAATGGCTTTAAAAGTTGTATAATCTCCTGCAAATGTAGATTCCACCACCGCCATCTATTGCGTGGCAGTCGAACTTACGAATATCAATCCGAAAAGACAACTGGACATACGGACAGGTTTGTTCATATCTCTGAAAGTTCGTAAGTCGAATGTTTGTAAGTAGAGGAGTCCCTGTATATAATCTGAGACGTTTCGGGCAATGCCCCTTGTTCAAAGCACACATTTGGTTAAGATGATGTGTTCGAGCAGACGGTTCGTAGGCGCCCTCCGGTGGCTCAACTCTTAACTGCAGCAAAAAACAATTCAATGTCTACACATTCAGTACGTTTTGAAAAAAAATTAAGGCGTTCTGTATTTATAACATAAAAATACACATCAACCTCACTAAGCTTCAGTTTAACACGTAGGCTTTCGCGACCAATATTATTCATAATAAAGGTTTTTGGGTTAGATAAATTAGATAACTGATAAATTAGCCCGCGTTTTGCAAAAGCAAAACATTACAGTAAGATTTGGTACAGTACACAAAATTCAAAAACTAGTATCTTGCACTAAAGACGCATTACCTAAACTATCAACAGAAGGTGTATATCGGATTAATTGTTCATGTGGCAGCTGCTACATTGGGCAGACGGGACGTAACATCAGCGTAAGACTAAAAGAACATCAGAGAAATATTAAATTATCTCAAACACAACTGTCGGCAGTGGCAGAACATGCTTGTCAACAAGGACACTCAATTGATTTTGACAATGTTGCAGTGGTGTGTAAAACTAATTATTACTGGCAAAGACTAATTAGAGAATCCATTGAAATTGAGAGGAACAAGAATAACTTTAATCGCTCTGACAGCTACCGGCTTAGTGCGGCCTGGAAGCGTATTATTAAATAATACACATTACATTTTGATTTAAAGAATTACTAATCTACAACTCATTACTAATCATAACCAATGACTGATTACTAATCGATTATATAATTACATTACCCCCCCCTCCGCCTCTAATCACTGCACCTGATGAGTTAAGTGATGACGTCACCCTGCTGCTCTATATAAAACCGGGAGCAAGCGAGGGCTTTACCATTCTGGCGAATTGCCCGATGATGCTGGAAGTATTTACCAGCGAAACGTCGTACTCAAACTGTAAATGTGGATTAACTCTTCAACACACCGGTGGGCTGAAGTAGTGAATTATTTGTCTTTTGTCAACGTGACACTTTTTTTGCTGATTGGCCGTGTCGGGTGGTGGAGGGTTACGACACATTTATAAATAAACGCGATCTAACCCAAAAACCTTTATTATGAACTCACTAAGCTTACCTAATATAATTGACCACTGTAATAATTACGTGTATAGTGTATTGCTGTTTTTAACTGGTGTGTATTACCTAGGTAAAAGAAGCGTAACAGATTATTTGTTGATGCTGCTGCGTTTGCAGTGGTGCACAATAAACAACAAAAACGCAACACATTCGTTCATAACTCTGTGGCCTTAAAATAAAATGTATAAACATACAAAAAGATCATTTGGAAACTAGAATGGTTCAGCAACGTTATTCCGCTTGCCAATGCGCATTCATTACAAAATTAAATTGCACTCATATTATAATCAATGCGTTTGCATGGTTTTTTCCTCCTCATTCAAACCATGGGCCCTCAACACTTCGGGATCCTCCGATTTCCCCACTCCACGTTCAGAAACGTGCGTTTAGAGTCATTGGTTGCTTTACATGTCCATATAGGCCACTTCGTTGAGGTAGCAATCGTGGCCAGGCCGCTTCTGCAAAAATAGCGATCTGGTCCAGTGGGCTTTACCTGGTAAAACACATTTTAATTTTTTTTTTGCTTCGTTTGACTTCAGTGAGTGTCGTTTTGCAGACAGCTTATTTGGCGAGCATGCCTTGATTATCGCTACCTTTCAACAATACGGGACAGCATTTCTGGCGGACGGGTAATACAAACCAGTAGGGATTTATTAAATACATCTAAGAGTGCCCCAATTTGCATATAAGGGGCCGTCCATAAATGACGTCACGCGATTTTGGACGATTTTTGACCCCCCCTTCGTCACACGACGTCAGACCCCCACTCAAATATGACGTCACAAAGCTCTGCCCCCCCCCCAAATAAAACATGCTTCAAATCGCTTTAAACTATTGTCATTGTAGTGCGTATTTAACGTGGCGCTGCACTCTGATGTTGTAGGAGAAACATTTTTTAAAAAGTCTATTTTAATTAAGTAGAACGTTTTGTCTATATTTAAAGTTGCGCATTTTGATGTGACGTCACATTTCTCAACCCCCCCCCCCTCGTCACAAATGTCTGACTCCCCCCTACGTGCGTCCTGGTGAGGGTCGCGGTGGCAGCGTGTTGAGTAGTGGCGACAGACTCCCAGCTAGATGATGTACATCTAATGTATCTTTATAAACACCTTAATCTGTACGTCTCAAAAACCTCTACGGTACTTCCCGACATGGTAAATAGGTGAAATTTGGTACACAGGTAGCTTTAGGACCCACACAAGATAAAACATCTGAAAATTCTAGAAATTTAATTTTAAGGCCCCCAAAATCTCGACGTTAAGTGCCCCACAAACATGTTTGTGCGTGTCATTCAGAAATAGTTAAAAATATAAGATTGCGGGGTTTTTTTCCGTTTCACAGAGCGTTAAACGGCAAACAAAATTAAAGCGAGAACTATTGTTCTGTCTTTTATTGTTTTTGAGATATTTCGTGTTCAAGCGGGTTTGAACGAACAAAAATACGCATTTTATGATGTTCAAATCTGAATAATTCGACAACGGTAAAAGATAAAAGCTTCCCCTCATCGAGGATTAAGTTAATTATATTTAGTTTTCTAATTTGTGGTTTTTCGGAAAAATGCACATTTTTGGAATGGTTATTAGCGTCTAATCGTAGATTAAAAAAATATATCAGGTTAATTATATTTATTGAAAACTTTTGCCTGGCGAAGACAGCCCTTTAATTTGTCATAAACTTTTAAGAAATCATAAATAATACATTGCACAAAAATATGTGATTCCGGTATTGTGACAGTAACAATACACTTTAATGGATAAATCGATGCATAATCATTGTAACAAATAATAAATACGTACACGTAATTTACATAAATCGATCGAATTGTTACAAGTCGAATTAAATCGATTCGTGCATTTTACTTTACGATTAGAATATATGTTTAGCTTTTGTTTCATAATCCGAGTACTCAGATTGTAAATAATGTGGATTTTTTTCTCCAACACACCGGTGTGCTGTACTAGATAACGAATTGGAATGCTCTGTTTACGTGACAAAC